GTAAAAGTTAAGAGTTGACTTTAAATATTAAAGAATAATACACTTTATTGTGCTTGTGAGGAAGACCAGAGAGGATAAGAGGAATCAATACGGGACTCAGGTAACCAGGGCATTGACTGGAATAGCAGAGCGGGTCGCCGTAAGTGACAGGAGGAGACAATATGTTATTTACGTTTGTCTCAACTGATTTGCTGTAAGTCAAATCATTCTCAAAATAACACAAAATCCAATAATTCCTCAGTGAATTTCTTTGGATAAAAACCGGCACTGAAGGGTTCTGAGATCTGAAAACAGCACTAAGTGATGTGTTGTTCAGGGCTTTATCTGCTCTGTATCTGTTACCATACTGGTGTAATAACAAAGATTGAATTACTAAGAAAAAGTAGTGAGAAACATGAGAAATACTTCATTAACACCAGGAGGAAACTTGGTCATTACAGTGGCTTTTATACACAATATAGCTGGAGGAAATATATAGTTTACTCACACACACTGGTAGAAAAATAGAGAATGATGTATGGAATATAACAGAAATAAACTATGTCAGATAATGCTGATTTATTGAAAAATATTGATTGATTGATTGATTAAATCTATTTCAGACATATCAAATAAAATCAAACATATCAAAAATACAAAACAAAATGAAAAGCACGAAAATACAATAAACAAAAAACAATGTTCAAATTATTTCACAAAAAAAGAAAAAGAAAATTACATATATTCAATTGATATGCCCGAACGTACGAAGAAGTATAAAACTTATTTAATCCTACCCCTTTTCCACAGCTCAATAATTAATATTTATTAAATTAAATTAACTTCCTGTGTTCCTTATAATCTCTCTATATATACAATCTATCTATATACAATTTGCTACACAATATTTATGATACCATATTTGATATTTACAATCCAATGATTTTCCATACTTATATACAACTTGATATACTATGATTTTTTATAATTTATATATTTATACACTCCATATATCTATATCTATCTGTACAATTTGATGTACTATATTTACATTTTATATATTAATACAATCTTTATATCTATACAGTTTGGTACAGTATGTTCACTAATATACATTTGATACAATCTATATATATATATATATATATATATATATATATATATACACAATTTGATATAGGCTACTATATGTACAATTTACATATATATAATATACATTGACATACACCTGTGTATACAAAACTTGTAAACCCAATTATTATTATTGTTATTATATTTATTTTATTAATATACCTCATGTTACCAAAATATTGTGACAGATATATCTCCTCTTTCCGACACTGAATGAGAAGCAGGTCGCTGCCTCGGCTAACTTTACCGTGTTGTATTGTTGTACTACTGCCTGAAACAAGCCCTTAATGAACGACAATCAAAGTCTGAATCCAAGCAGTGCAGTAATGAAACACATGTACACTTTGAGAAACTGAACTGAGTCATTTCTCTCTCTGAGCCAAACAGAGAGACTAATGCACGCTTTTCTTACCAGCAGGCTGGACTATTGTAACGCTCTCCTTTCTGGTCTTCCTAAAAACACAACAAATCGGCTTCAGCTACGACAAAACTCTGCTGCTCGAGTACAGACAAAGAGCAGAAGGAGAGCACACATCACTCCTGTTTTTAAATCTTTACACTGGCTGCCTGTTGGTTTCCCTTTATTAGTTTATAAAGCATTACATGGCCTTGCACCAGACTACCTATCAGATATGATTTTAGTTTATGAACCAGTACGGCCCCTCAGATCCTCCAGTTCCTCTCTCTTAGTTGTTCCACAGAGCAGGACACAAACCTTTGGTGATGCTGCTTTCAGCTGTTACGCTCTGAGACTGTGGAACGACCTTCCTGAGGGTCTGAGAGGAGCCCACAATCTTAAAACTCATTTATTCAGTCTGGCTTTTATATATTGTTTTATATCAATTCAAATCTTAACATTACTGTATTGTCTTTTTTATCCTACGACAATTTTAAATATTTTCCTTTTAAGTATTTATTTTAATACCTTGTTGCTTTTATGTGTCGTATTTTATTTTATTTTTATATATTTTTTTAATTCTTATTGGTAAATAAGATAAATAAAACAATAATATAAATAAATAATGATAAAAATATTTATTTTAATATCTTGTTGCTTTTATGTGTCGTATTTTATTTTAATATATTTTTTTTAATTCTTATTGGTGAATAAGATAAATAAAACAATAATATAAATAAAAAATAATAATAAATATTTATTTTAATATCTTGTTGCTTTCATGTGTCGTATTTTATTTTAATAAATATTTTTTTAATTCTTATTGGTGAATAAGATAAATATAATAATAATATAAATAAAAAATAATAAAAAATATTTATTTTAGTATCTTGTTGCTTTTATTTGTCGTATTTTATTTTATTTTATAAATATTTTTTTAATTCTTATTGGTGAATAAGATAAATAAAACAATAATATAAATAAATAATAATAAAAAACATTTATTTTAATATCTTGTTGCTTTTATGTGTCGTATTTTATTTTATGTTTATAAATATTAGTTAAATTCTTATTGGTGAATAAGATAAATAAATAATAATATAAATAAAGTATAATAAAAAATATTTATTTTAATATCTTGTTGCTTTTATGTGTCGTATTTTATTTTATTTTATTTTTATACATATTTTTTAATTCTTATTGGTGTGCATTAGTCTCTCAATGATTTTATAAACTACTTTTTGTCAACAACTTTTCTGCACTCTTGTAAAACACTTTGAACTGCAGTTTCATTTGTCTGAAAAGTGCTTTATAAATAAAGTTTTGATTGATTTGACGAACACCAGCTCACAGGCTCGTTTATTCATCACGACGTTTCCTGATCAGGAAATAAAGTACAAAGTTTGCTGCTTATGTTCACAAGCTGGCCGAAAAACTCTTAAAATGTTTTGAAAAAATGACACATTAAGGAGAAAATCAGCACCAAACATCTGCAGGTTCGCTCAGAGTTTCATTCAATACGTTAGCAGAGAGTTAGCTTCTTCGTGCTAATGTTAGCTTCAAGAGGATATTCTGAAGACCTGCGGCTTTAAACTGAGCCCCACTTGAGTCCAAAAAGAACCACTGCAAACAAACTTCTTATAAATATGCTCCTTTAGGCACCACATGACATGTTTATGAAATAAAACTTACTTGTCTTTCTCTGTGCCGAAAATGGATGCCAGGTACTCCGCCATTTTCGGCTAGTTGTTGACGTAGAGATGAACGTCATTACGTAAACGGAATGCACATGCGCAGACGCGACAACTTCCTTTTTTTTCATTCAGGCTTTTAGTATGGAGGACGAAAAGTGCCAAAATGAAATATATAAATAATTAAATAATTAAATGTGTCATCAATTATTTAATATTGGAAATAAATCAACAAATATATAAATAAATATATAATTATTTAATTAATTCAATGCATGTGTTATTAGATAATTAAATAATTATTTAAATGTGTCATTAATTATTTAAAATTGGTAATATATAAATAGATGATTTATGAAATAAATAAATAATTAAATAAATGTTTAAATAATTATTTAAAATGTTCATTCATTCTGTGTAAAAACACATCTATTTATTCCACTGTTTGTTTAATTATTTCATGTTTCCTGCTCCAGCTATGATTTAGAGTTGAACCTATCACAAATTGCTATAAGCAGCATATTAAGATAACAAAGAGAAACAAAACAAAAGTATGTAATAACATAACTTTAAATAAATCAAATCAACATGAAATAAATACAATTACATTTATTTTTCCAACTTCTTTAAGAATGAAAATAAATTTTAAAGGCATCTTTAATTTCAGTTTGTTAACAGATCATAATGATTCATTTGTTGTGCTTACCTACATACCAAAGTCCTTCCTCAAATGGCCACAAGATGTCGCCACAATCAAGCAGTTTTCACTTTTTCTTCTCAGATACTTCAAGTAGGTGAGTATTTTTTTAAATTTTACTCCACTAAATTTAATTTGAAAACTGCATTGCAGCATTTGACAACACCATCATAATGTGATGCCGAATAGGCATATGAAGCAAACGACTATAAGTTGTTTTTTTTAGTTACAGGTTTGTGACATCGCCAACTCCCCTCACACTCCTCTCTGTCCTGGGTATGTCATGTGTAACTTGTGGTGGAATTTCTGTAGTTATTTAGATTATAATGTACAGATGTCATTAGGTTTATTGTTCTCTAATGTCAGTCAGACCTGACAGAGTTCAGCTGTTATTAGAACACCAAGTACAGCCTCAGAGTGTCAACTGTTCTTCTTGATATCTGCAAGGATGTTTGGTAGACTTATTGTCTGCTCCAGAGTTATTGACATCACAGTTTAGTCTAGGTGGGTCAATGTGACACGACCCTGATAATGATAATGTCTTTTGGGATATATATGCGATGCCTTTCGAAGAGTTCTGCAGATGTGAGTGTTCATCTGATGCTTAAACTTTCATCAGCGTAAGCCGTCCGAGTCAACTGAGTCTTATTGTGTGAAGTCAAGTCTTAGTTATTTCCTCAACATAACTCTTCGCTCTCCACAGAAATGTAAAAAAAAAAAAAAAAAAAAAAAGCCTCAATAAGGAATAAGGAAGCTGGCCTGGCATTACGGTGAATCACTTTTTTTATTGATGTCCTCATTAATGCCTTTACTCTTCTACAAGTTGGGGCTCAAGAGATTAAAATGTAAGCGGCAGAATCTGCAGCATCCTGATTTTTTAGGGAGCCCAAAGAACTGCAGATCTTACATTTCCAATAATAAAGAACGTTCTGTGATATACGTAATCAGACCATGTTGTGTAAGATTTGTGGACTGCTCCTTTAAAACCTGAATGAGGCTGATTCATTGATAAATACACAGTTCACAATTTGACCTGCTACAGACGCTTGATACTATCATCAGAGAGGGCATTAAAGCTCGTCTGCTCTGTGAACTGTATATCCTCCTCAGAAACCACACTGCTGTTGTGCACGAGGCCGCACAAGTTTGCAGGAGACGCAGATGGTGCCGATGAAAGGAAAGGATCGGGGAGAGGAAGTCAGCTTGAACAGGTCCAACCACAGACACGGTTTCAGAGAGTTTGAGCCAAAGTGAAGTGAAAAGAGAGGTTAAGTGAGAGAGGAAGACTGTAGTTACATATGAGGTCTCTGCGTTCGCTGTTGTTTTTTTTAAAGCAGGGTCAGCACCTAAAAAAAAAAACGCGGAAAACCCCCAAAGCTGAGATGTTCCTCCACTTCAGACCTGCAACTTTTGCAGAAGGAAGACCACCCACCGACCTCTACTCCCCTCCTGCACTCTCACGCCCCTACTTTAAGGTGGAAAGAGGTAGAGAGCAGAAAGAGGAAGCGGCATGAAGCTGAGAAGCTTTTACCTTGTCTTCAGTACTTCTCTGTTTTTTATAACCAAATAATGAAACACAGAGGAACTATTCTCACTTGGGTTGACTGCGACTGAGAGGTAACAGGAGGGTTTACAAGAGTCGCCATCATGAGGCCTAACACCTGCTGGACTCGACTGCATGTGTCCGTCTTGGCAGTGCTGCTCCTCATTTTGGAAGCTGACAGTAAGCTTTTTATATTTGCATCCTGTGCTGTCTCAGTGTTTGTGTAGTGTTCCCTCACCCCTCTCTGTGGCTCTGAACTTGTCACATCAGGGTTTTAACTCAAAGGTCAGCTTGTAAATCCTCTGGTAAGAGTCTGAGGCTTGACGTCTGTAGAGGCTGTGAACTCTGAAGTGCTCTTATTTAAACACAGCTGCATAGAAGGCAGGTAATGTAGTCTGAAAAATGATATGTGGAAAGTCATGTTTTAAAGATAGAAGTTAGAGTTGGCGGAAACAGATCTCTAAAAGTGTGCGAGCGGATAAGTTTGGTATCAGTGATCACGGTAATGTGAACATACCTTGTGTACCTGCCTTTACTGTACAAACTTTTAGCTCTAAAACTGACATTTAAACATCTTTTTTTCTAAAGCTGTAAAAGCTACTTTCACTTTGTTTCTTCAATCAGGTGTTTTCCTGTGGGTGGGAGCTTCATGGAAAGAATTACAGATTTCAAGCAAATGATTAACAAGCTCATTTTGATGGGGGGGAAAAAAATCATCGAACCTTGAGTATTTGAAGTGTTGAGTCACACTGGGGAGGTTAATAATTTCCTGTTCGACGTACTGTACCTCCGTCCTCAAAATACACTGACGTATAATCTTCAATGTAAAATAGAAAACATTGTCACATGTGTGTCGTTTATTACCACCAACCGCAGCGCCTGTTATTTGTTAAGCCTCCTCTGTGGTTTCCTTTGGGCATAAATATATGTTGGTGGTTGATTTACACAGAAATACAAAAGCACTCCCCTCTGGAGGACAGGTTTCCATCTGTCCCTATGTGTTTGTTTCTCTTGTACATTTGTTTTGGAGTCTCAATGTCTCTTTGTAGTTCTTTTGTGTTTCTTTGTAGTTCTTTACTTTACATTTTGTTGTAGTTTTTTTTGTCTCTGTTTAGATATTTGTGTCACTCTCATGTTGTGGCTCTTTTGCCGTTGCAGTTTTTTTCTTTGTAATTGTTTATTTTATATGTGATGAGCATGTTTAACACCTGTGGAGTTTCCTTTATACTGTATCTGCCCTTATGTTTGTACAGTCAGCCATCAGCGCTGAAAGTGAAGAAAAGTTCCCATGAAAAACAGGAAATTCATTTCTCTGTAAAAAAGAACTGAAGAAAACTCATCACAAGGTCCATCTTATAGACATCTACAAAACCATACATTGGTTATTATTTACAGTCACTTTTTTTCACGGGACATTAAAAGTTGTCATTGAAATTTTGAATCGAACATTTTCAGATTTTAAGCTCAAAAATCCGAAAAGCAGATATGAAACCCACCACTTTGTCACCTGCTTTTTCAAAAGTAAGAAAATGAACTCTAGCGCCACATTGATGAGCAGTGGAATATCTGACGTGTGAACACCAACACACTCAGGTGTTAAAAGACAACTCGAAAATGTGCAGATTTCTAAGATTTACGTAAAACACATAGGGTTTCACTGGTGCATGTAAAAGTTCAGGTATGTGGGTTTTAAGTTCCCCCGGAGACACCTCTTTAGGGTCTTCTGGTGCCTTCATCGGCTGCGCTCTCATGCAAATAATGTTTCCACTCGTCACATGAAACTTCACAGAACCTTTTTTTACTCGTGTCTTTTCTCTTTTGGATTTACGTTGTTCATCAGGTTCATCTTTCGATCACATCGCGTTAGACTCATCTAAATAATCTTCCTATGTGTTTTTTATTTTTGTAATCCTTGTTTTAACTTCCTGTCACCATGCACTTCAGGGTTTTAAAGGACCTTAAAGGGGACATTTTTTGAAGAATCCACTTTGACAGTGTTTTTGAACATATATTTCAAAAACTCTGGTGTTATTTTATTTCATCATAGCTGACACCAGAATGTATTTGAACATGGATGAAGGATGAGCTAACCTATTCTGTATGTTTGTTGTCTCTTTCCTTGCAGGTACAGATGAATGTGAAGTTCAAATTAAAGTACGCAGCAAAACAAAATATAAAGCTCTCCTTGGAGAAGAACTAAAGATTGACTGTCCAGTTACGTTCTGCGACGATACACCACCTGAAATCTCCTGGTTTAAACTCGAAGAAACTGGTGATCCTATAAACATTAGCGGGAGAAGTCGCTTCAGATCAGAGTGGAAAACTTTGAAGCATTTAGAGGGAGTTTCAGTTTTGATCATTCAAAACTTTGTCAGAAACGACTCGGGTATATATCGGTGTAAAGGTGGTTCCAATGTTGGACATAAAATCAATGTTTATCTCAATGGTGAGTGTGACTTTCTTATTAAAAAGTATTAAATGCATCTGATATTAAATTCCCCTTATTTCACATCTTCATGCCGTTAAGACTTTCAACGTTATTTTACAGAGAGTAGTGAGCCTAACAATTCAACACAAAAGAAAGACATAAGTAAGACATGTTTATGTTTAGTCATTTTTAAATCTAAAGCAATGTCTTTAATCCATTTCAACACTGCCTTTATAGAAAAAGACATAAAATGAGTGAAATGTCTTTTTTTAATTTTTCAGACGGCACCCATACAGATGCTGAACACCTATGGATGTACGTGTACACCGCTGCAGGGATTGTGGCATTCGTCCTCTTTGTGATTCTTGTATCTCTTGCGTCGATGCGAGGATGTAAAGGTGACTCGTTTACATTTTATCCAGGATTAAACGGCAATATGCATTTTAATTAATACATTTATAAAGTGACTAATTTCACCAAATTGTCAACTTGCAGGAAAAGCAAAGAGCGAGAGGATAGAGGATAATCATGTAAGACAAGAAATCATCTCAAAAAGCTGAAATTCAGGAGGGGGCGGGGTTTGGTCACACTTTTTAAGCAATTTCCATTTTTTATGTTTGTAGTACATGGCGATCCCAATGGTCGAGCAACCCTTCCCAAACCCCCGCACCCAGCCTTCACCAAGAGGAAGTCCGTCTCTGCCGCTGCCTCAGAGATCTATGCGGAGAAAGAAACCGCTGCCACAACCCATCGAGCCGCCATCACCCAGAGACAATGAGTGTGTTTACAGCAAGGTAAAAGTAGACAGAGATCAACAGAGGAATACGCTGGAAGAGAACGGGGGCTCTGTTGTGTATGCCGCCCTCAACCATCAGCTCCCAGCCAGGCCTGTTGCTCGGCCGAGGAGGCAGAAGGAGGAGTGTTCAGAGTACGCTGCGATCCGTGTTAGAGACAGCAGCTCTTAGACCACTGAGGGACTTTTCAAAATGATAGAAAACCAAAATGAAACTGCCACAACGAGAGATGTGAATGTTGGACGGACACAGATCTCAAACTATCTTTTTTTGTTGTTGTTGCACATCCAAGATCTGAATTAAGGTCATGTAGCAGAAATAGTCAGAGGCTGTTGTTACGCATGCACAAAACTCCTGAGAAGTTCCAGAAATGTTGAATGTCAGCCGCATGTGTGAACTCACTTTTTTCATCGTAAAATCTGAAAGTGAAGTCTGGGGGAGCTGATGTGTGAACGCGGCAGGAAATATTCAATCACTGTGAGACAGAGCGAGGGAGTGGGTGAACTTCGAGCCCGTCTATCCAGTTTGTTCTTTTCCTGTGAATGAGTGAAATGTTCTTGAAGTTTTCAGGAGTGCATGTGTGAAAACGGCTTTACAAACCTTTGACTCATCATACGACGATACGAATGACTAGCTTCTGTGCTTTTATGTGTCACAGCCTTTGAGAAAAAATGAATGTGATTCTTTTACCCGCATACTGAGAATGTATTGATTAATTCATAATCCGTGCAATTAAATACACAATGACTGCTTGATTTGACATCAGTGCTGACCTGCCTCTTTGAATGTTTTTACCATTAAACAATCTCATGCCAGGGCAGCAAAGAGGTTAACTCAAAACACCAGGAAGTCTCAGGTGAACTGAGATGCCAATGTGCTGAAAATCTCCTTTTTGGATGTTAAGTAAATGGACTTAAGCGTGTCTTTGACTACTCAAAGTGCTTTTACACACCAAAAAATGTTTCACTCATATTACGTGATAATAATAACTGTAAGCTGTAACACCTGCAAACTATAACTTTATGGCAAGCTAAAATAACACTGTAAGTTGGACATCAAGTCTACTCACAGCATTATTTGAAAACAAAGGCTATAAAGGCAATTCTCTCTCACACTCACACTCACACACACACACACACTCACACACTCACACACTCACACACACTCACACTAGGGTGACCACCTCCAAACCAGCAAGGACGAGGTTGTGCACAAAACTCTATAAGCTACTATTATGATGCATGTTTTTTAAGTCTGACTGAACAAAATGAGTCCTGTATTAATTTCCTATGTTGAGCATTTGCACACTTTTAGTCTACAATTTCCCCAGATACTATTGAGTGAAGATGTACACGCATCCCAAAACACTTTCATTGATAATTCCACGGGCTGTCATCATTTCTGTGTCATTCCAGTGTCTTTCTGACAGCGGGCGTGTGGAGCCACGTATACCTGTCTGTCTGCGCAAAGACATTTGATAGGTTTGCTTGTTGTACTGCGTCAAGACAGTCGCTATTCTGACCTCCTCCTCCTCAATCTGTCCCCGCTGCTGGGTCACGTCTCTCTCCTCCTCCTCCTCCTCCTCCTGTGCACTCGATGGGACTGCTTCTGCACATGTGTCGACGCCCTGCACCCGCTGCTGCAGTCAAACTTGCAAACATATTAGTGATTTTGGCACATTTTGCTGCATCCACTTGTTGTGCTTTTGTTGTTTCTTATCCATTTCACACTCACTCACTTCTCTCCAGGGGCGTTTCTAGGTTTCTGAAACATCCGGGGCTTAGCCCAGAGGGAAATGGCAAACGCGCGCGCACAGCCACACATTATTTTGTTTGCTTTATTTCACATGCAAAATTTTTCATAATGCTTTACCTAAAAAAACAAAATACTCAGTTTATTATAGCTTTAAATAACTACCTGACTGCTGTGCTGCTTATCCCCAGACATCTACAGTTCCATTCAAAGTTATTTCAGAGTAAAATGAATACAAGTGAGACAGACCTGACATTACCTCTATGGATCTGACTGGGGATAGGTTAGGTTAATTCACTTGAGGTGGTAAACAGTCTGGTTATGTTTTGTTTATTCTCTTGGTAGACTATCTAGAAGGACGAGGCTGTGACGGTAAATTTGACAGCGGTGCGTTCAGACACACTCGGAAATTCCATGGTTGAATATGGAGATTTTGTTGCTCTGTTGTCATGCGGTAAACGAGGGGCGTTCAAGGATCGTCGGAAAGTTGCATTTTTTTAAATTAAATTTTAATTTTTAATTTTTAAAATTATATTCGGGCTAATTAAATAATATCCGGGGCTTTAGCCTAGTGACGCCACTGCTTCTCTCCAACTCCGGTCAGCTTAATGGCAAAATTTGATAACCTTGGAGAGGGGAGGGGCGGGCCGAGGAGGGCTCAGAGATTTCATTGGACTAGCCCAATGTCTTTCAAGAAAATCAACCAATGGGCTGCGTTTCCTGTCTCATATACAGTCGTGGTCGATAAAAAATAATATACTCTTTTAATTAAATTATGACAGCCCCGGGCCGGCCCAACAATGTGCATCAGCCCACCGGGTATTGCCCGGTACGCCCAATTGGCCTGTCGATGCCTGTTTTACACCACAGGTTACACTCACTGCATTCACACTGATGACAGAGGCTACAAAGCCCCCATTTAGACAAATATCACACATAAACCAGATAACAGGAAGTAGAGTCGACCAGAAGACGTTTACTGCAGCGTTTACAGCAGACCATCAGTTGTTTGACAGAGCTTACAATCTGGTTCTAGACATTTTTTCACCATGACACCAAAGTCCTGCTTCACCATCCTTCATGTGTCCATCTTGGCTGCGACACTTCTCACTTTGGAAGTTTCCTGTAAGTTTTTGTCTTTTTATTAATGGCATACTCTCAATGGCAGCAGCTGCGTGTTACTGTCTTTGTGGCTCTGTCACTGCGTGATGTGTCGACAAATATTCCTCAGAAAAAATAATGTTATGTAAACTGAAAAGGTATTAAAAGTACTTATAGTGAGGGTGTATATTTAATAAAATCTCCAGAACGCAGCAAAAGGCTCAACTGTGTACCGTTAAAACTCAACACGGAAATGAACTGGATATGAATTTGGAGGAAACAATTTAAATTGTGGTGAAGGAAGGATTACCTTTATAGAGAATTGTATATTGTTGGCAGAGAAAACCTGAAATGCAGTTTTCTACATGCAAACATATTTAGTGATAAAAATGACCAAATGTGTTAGTTTGGTAATTTCTTGCCATTTTTTAGACTTTTTGGTCTCTTTATATCGGTTAAAAGTCGACAAATGCAGCATGGCAAAACAGCAGTGTATCGGCTGAAGTCTGTACTTCCTGAATTCAGACAGTGGTGGGGATCTTTTCACCTTAAATTTAGCCTCCATGAAGCGAGGCTGCCTTATTAAAATGAGCAAACCCCATTCTCAACTCTGACTTCAACACAAAGTACAACACATGACTTCCTGCCCTGAACTTTCCGTGTAGCTGCTGCAACAATGAACAACAAATCTATTGAACTGCTTTTACGTTCTGTCATCATTAGCTGGTGTCACATTTTTGAGAAAGTGAGTTGCCTGTAATTTTTTTACTCTGATAATATTTTGTTTCATCTTTAGCTGTCATCAGAATTTATTTATACATTACAAAAAAAATCAATCAAGGATGAGCTAACCTATTCTGTATGTTTGTTGTCTCTTTCCTTGCAGGTACAGATGAATGTGAAGTTCAAATTAAAGTACGCCGATACACAGAATATAAAGCTCACCTTGGAGAAGAACTAAAGATTGAATGTCCAGTTACGGTCTGCAACGATTCACCACCTGAAATCTCCTGGTTAAACTCGAAGAAACTGGTGATCCTATAAACATTAGCGGGAGAAGTCGCTTCAAATCAGAGTGGAAAACTTTGAAGCATTTAGAGGGAGTTTCAGTTTTGATCATTCAAAACTTTGTCAGAAACGACTCGGGTATATATCGGTGTAAATGTGGTTCCAGTGTTGGACATAAAATCAATGTTTCTGTCAATGGTGAGTGTGACTTTGTTATTAATCTAATGTGTCTTTATTGAGTTAAACTGCCTACAGATACCCTGATACAGCCACTAATAATCAGCTTGAATATAACAGCTACGCTCCGAGCTCCGAGCTCCGAGCTCCGAGCTCGAGCTACTCTGATCCTGTATTTGATCATGTCTATAAACCCCTCTATTTCAGCCCTGCTCAGAACAGGCTGTTTCTGTGTCTGTAGCTTTAAATATGTAAATGAGCTGTGTCTGACCAGGCCCCCTCTCTGGAAGGGCTTGGGTGTACTCGGTGCTTTCTCTCTCCATGTCCTATTGTTTACGGTGAGAAGGCAGACTCAGAGGGCAGAACAAACACCTAGCTGTGGGAGTGTCACCCACCTGGGGGAGGGGCTACTGCCCTTTGTGATGTCATGAAGGGAAAATCTCCAAAAGGCCTGTTTGAGCACACATTTTCTGAAAAGTGGAGCAGGCAAAAGACAGAAAAGAACGGACGTTTCTCATAATCGGGGGTTTGTAGACGGACTAGAGACACATATTAGTGTTAGAAAAACATGGTGAAGTGTATTTTGCATAATATGTGACCTTTAATGTTTTTCAGATAGTGTTGAACTCATCACCTACCAATTTTTTTCTGACCTTGATAACTATGGGTTACTTTATTAACTCTGATGCTGAGACAAATGTCCCCTTTTCACAGGGAGACCAGAAACTGAGGACGCTTTCTGGCCTTTTGTGTGTCGTGTTGTTGGACTCTTGGTGTTTGTCACCATAGTGATTGCTATGTTTGTCACCTCACACTCTTTGCGTAAAGGTGAGACTTTTTATTTTACACGAGTGTTTTTATGAGCCACACAGGCGCTCTGCAGACCTCCAGCTGAGGATTTAAACTAAGAACCACACATTGTGATATCAACAAATATCAAATTATGATCGTTTTTCATTTCAATTCAAGGTGTCCGATGTGGAGGAGGATCCAAAGACACACCAGCAGATCCAAACAGCCAGCCTTCCCATCAGGCTTTGCCTATGGATCATATCTATGATAGTGTTCAGTAGTCCTCATGTCAGAGGTACAAAGTTAAACGTTACAATGCTGGGTTAAGAACATACAACAGCATTTATTATTGATTGTTTTTTGTGACTCGTGGAAGTCAATTTGTGCTTGTGAATTTCTGCAAATGAACCTGTAGTGATACAAGAAGTGACATTTCTATTGCTTTCAAACCGCTGTATATGAGATCGAACCTGTGTGTGTGTGTGTGTGTGTGTGTGTGTTTTGCTTCCTCTGTAGGTGACAAACTTTGTGCACAAATCCCCTGCAAGATATATTATTTTGGTTATCTGTATCGCATTGTGGAGCAGACGCACTGATGCCAGGAAGCAAAATGTAACCACACGTCACATATTGAGAGACAAAAGACAAGAGGATGTGTCGTAACATGAAAGAATACGCAGCCCTCAACTTATCACCCATCTGTTCTAGGGATCTTATTTCACTCTAAAATATAAATTATAAATGTGATTTTACCACTTCACATACAGCCCAATATTAAAGATTCACTGAAGAAATCTAGTTTCTTAAACTGACTAATGAAAACAACAGCCAACCTGTCAGTCAAAGCAGCCCCGCCAAATTATAATATAATACTAGCTTTCAAAAAAGATTTTTCATAAATTCTTAAAATTCATAAAAATTCACTCTGTAAAGTTTGTGCAAATAAATAAATGAGCTGTCAGAACCAAACCTGTTTTGTAGCATTTCTATTGAGTATGTCATGGTTGGAAACGACTGAATTTGATGAATATCTCTTTTCATATTGCGTCTTTATGTCGGAAACATCCACATGTGCACATCAGATTGTGTCTTGGCTTATTACTCATTACATGCAAATAAAAATACACACGTTCCAAATCGGCTTTTTGTTTTGATTGATTCAATATTGCACGTGTTGTTTCGTGCTAATGCAGCGATAATGTTCCATTCTGTGGTTTCATCACTTCATTGAAACTAGAACAAATTGCTAATGAGTTATGCAAATGACATTCAATATGAGTCACCTTGACATCAATGCTCATTAATAAATGGTCAACTTGATCCACTTCAGTTTGCTTATCAAGCTGGTGAAGGTGTGGACGACGCCAAGGTTTTCATTTTCGACACTGTGTACAAACGCCTGGAAAAACCTAAATCCCATGCCAGACTTTTATTCGCTGACTTTTCCTCAGCTTTTAATAAAATGCAGCCTCATATTTTAATTGAGACACTATCCTCTCACTTTAAACTTCCTGGTCAGATTTTAATGTTGTTTTTAAACTTTTTAACAGACAGAGTTCAGCAGGTTTTCGTGAATGGTCAAATGTCGAAAAATAATTATGTCAAACACTGGTTCCCCTCAGGGCTGTGTCCTTTCCCCCCTGCTTTTTATCATGTACACAGATAGCGGCAGAACATCACTAGAGAAGAGTTATCTGGTAAAGTTCTCAGATGACACTGTTCTGCTGTACCTCCTTCAGGGCTCAGAATCAGGCCACGGCGGTGCTCTACCAACTTTTGTTAAGTGGTGCGATGGCAACTTCCTGGATCTTAATGTCCTGAAAACCAAGGATTTGGTCATAGATTTTAGGAAGAACTGTTGTCACCCTGAATCTAGCATTATCCACAGTGGAGAGTTGAAATAGTGGCATTACATTCACACACCGCTGATGCAGCAGCAGGGCAAGTTGGGGTTAAGTGTCTTCACCAATGGACACGTCCACATATGTCTGCAGGAGCTGGGGATTGAAACTCCATCCTTCCTGTTGAGAGATACCCAACTCTACCACAGTATAGTCCGTAGTGTGGGTTTGCTCTCAACAAATATCATACAGAAACCAGATAACAGGAAGTAGAGTCGACCAGAAGACATTTACTGCAGCGTTTACAGCAGACCATCAGTTGTTTGACAGAGCTTACAATCTGGTTCTAGACATTTTTTCACCATGACACCAAAGTCCTGCTTCACCATCCTTCATGTGTCCATCTTGGCTGCGACACTTCTCACTTTGGAAGTTTCCTGTAAGTTTTTGTCTTTTTATTAATGGCATACTCTCAATGGCAGCAGCTGCGTGTTACTGTCTTTGTGGCTCTGTCACTGCGTGATGTATCGACAAATATTCCTCAGAAAAAATAATGTTATGTAAACTGAAAAGGTATCAAAAGTACTTATAGTGAGGGTGTATATTTAATAAAATCTCCAGAACGCAGCAAAAGGCTCAACTGTGTACCGTTAAAACTCAACACGGAAATGAACTGGATATGAATTTGGAGGAAACAATTTAAATTGTGGTGAAGGAAGGATTACCTTTATAGAGAATTGTATATTGTTGGCAGAGAAAACCTGAAATGCAGTTTTCTACATGCAAACATATTTAGTGATAAAAATGACCAAATGTGTTAGTTTGGTAATTTCTTGCCATTTGTTAGACTTTTTGGTCTCTTTATATCGGTTAAAAGTCGACAAATGCAGCATGGCAGAACAGCAGTGTATCGGCTGAAGTCTGTACTTCCTGAATTCAGACAGTGGTGGGGATCTTTTCACCTTAAATTTAGCCTCCATGAAGCGAGGCTGCCTTATTAAAATGAGCAAACCCCATTCTCAACTCTGACTTCAACACAAAGTACAACACATGACTTCCTGCCCTGAACTTTCCGTGTAGCTGTTGCAACAATGAACAACAAATCTATTGAACTGCTTTTACGTTCTGTCATCATTAGCTGGTGTCACATTTTTGAGAAAGTGAGTTGCCTGTAATTTTTTTACTCTGATAATATTTTGTTTCATCTTTAGCTGTCATCAGAATTTAATTATACATTCCAAAAAAAATCAATCAAGGATGAGCTAACCTATTCTGTATGTTTGTTGTCTCTTTCCTTGCAGGTACAGATGAATGTGAAGTTCATATTAAAGTACGCAGCCAAAACAAAATATGAAGCTCACCTTGGAGAAGAACTAAAGATTGAATGTCCAGTTACGTCTGCAACGATTCACCACCTGAAATCTCCTGGGTTAAACTCGAAGAAACTGGTGATCCTATAAACATTAGCGGGGGAAGTCGCTTCAGATCAGAGTGGAAAACTTTGAAGCATTTAGAGGGAGTTTCAGTTTTGATCATTCAAAACTTTGTCAGAAACGACTCGGGTATATATCGGTGTAAATGTGGTTCCAGTCTTGGACATAACATCAATGTTTCTGTCAATGGTGAGTGTGACTTTGTTATTAATCTAATGTGTCTTTATTGAGTTAAACTGCCTACAGATACCCTGATACAGCCACGTAATAATCAGCTTGAATATAACAGCTACGCCCTGAGCTCCGAGCTACTCTGATCCTGTATTTGATCATGTCTATAAACCCCTCTATTTCAGCCCTGCTCAGAACAGGCTGTTTCTGTGGCTGTACCTTTAAATATGTAAATGAGCTGTGTCTGACCACGCCCCCTCTCTGGAAGGGCTTGGGTGTTCGGGCTTTCTCGCTCCATGTCCTATTGTTTACGGTGAGAAGGCAGACTCAGAGGGCAGAACAAACACCTAGCTGTGGGAGTGTCACCCACCTGGGGGAGGGGCTACTGCCCTTTGTGATGTCATGAAGGGAAAATCTCCAAAAGGCCTGTTTGAGCACACATTTTCTGAAAAGTGGAGCAGGCAAAAGACAGAAAAGAACGGACGTTTCTCATAATCAGGGGGTTTGTAGACGGACTAGAGACACATATTAGTGTTAGAAAAACATGGTGAAGTGTATTTTGCATAATATGTGACCTTTAATGTTTTTCAGATAGTGTTGAACTCATCACCGACCAATCGACAACTTCAGAGCCACGTAAGAAGCCTTCAATCTTTTTTCTGACCTTGATAACTATGGGTTACTTTATTAACTCTGATGCTGAGACAAATGTCCCCTTTCACAGGGAGACCAGAAACTGAGGACACTTTCTGGCCTTTTGTGTGTCGTGTTGTTGGACTCTTGGTGTTTGTCGCTATAGTGATTGCTATGTTTGTCACCTCACAGTCTTTGCGTAAAGGTGAGACTTTTTATTTTACACGAGTGTTTTTATGAGCCACACAGGCGCTCTGCAGACCTCCAGCTGAGGATTTAAACTAAGAACCACACATTGTGATATCAACAAATATCAAATTATGATCGTTTTTCATTTCAATTCAAGGTGTCCGATGTGGAGGAGGATCCAAAGACACACCAGCAGATCCAAACAGCCAGCCTTCCCATCAGGCTTTGCCTATGGATCATATCTATGATAGTGTTCAGTAGTCCTCATGTCAGAGGTACAAAGTTAAACGTTACAATACTGGGTTAAGAATATACAACAGCATTTATTATTGATTGTTTTTTGTGACTCGTGGAAGTCAATTTGTGCTTGTGAATTTCTGCAAATGAACCTGTAGTGATACAAGAAGTGACATTTCTATAACTTTCAAACCGCTGTATATGAGATTGAACCTGTGTGTGTGTGTGTGTGTGTGTGTGTGTTTTGCTTCCTCTGTAGGTGACAAACTTTGTGCACAAATCCCCTGCAAGATATATTATTTTGGTTATCTGTATCGCATTTTGGAGCAGACGCACTGATGCCAGGAAGCAAAATGTAACCACAGGTCACATATTGAGAGACAAAAGACAAGAGGATGTGTCGTAACATGAAAAAATACGCAGCCCTCAACTTATCACCCATCTGTTCTAGGAATCTTATTTCACTCTAAAATATAAATTATAAATGTGATTTTACCACTTGACATACAGCCCAATATTAAAGATTCACTGAAGAAATCTAGTTTCTTAAACTGACAAATGAAAACAACAGCCAATCTGTCAGTCAAAGCAGCCCCGCCAAATTATAATATAATTACTAGCCTTCAAAAAAGATTTTTCATAAATTCTTAAAATTCATAAAAATTCACCCTGTAAAGTTTGTGCAAATAAATAAATGAGCTGTCAGAACCAAACCTGTTTTGTAGCAGCTTTAAATGTGTTTATTTCTGCTGTAATAACAGTTTTAACATGTGATCTAATGGGGTTTCCTCGGCTTTAGTGGACACTTGAGGAAATGCAGTTTTTTGGGCCTACAGATTGACTTCATTTTTTTAACACCAAAAGGTTTCAACTAATTTAATGTTAGCTTAAGTGCTTTATGTTCATTTCTATTCAGTATGTCATGGTTGGAAATGACTGAATTTGATGAATATCTCCTTTCAGATTGCGTCTTTATGTCAGAAACATCCACATGTGCACATCAGATTGTGTCTTGGCTTATTACTCATTACATGCAAATAAAAATACACACGTTCCAAATCGTCTTTTTGTTTTGATTGATTCAATATTGCACGTGTTGTTTCGTGCTAATGCAGCGATAATGTTCCATTCTGTGGTTTCATCACTTCATTGAAACTAGAACAAATTGCTAATGAGTTATGCAAATGACATTCAATATGAGTCACCTTGACATCAACGCTCATTAATAAATGGTCAACTTGATCCACTTCAGTTTGCTTATCAAGCTGGTGAAGGTGTGGACGACGCCAAGGTTTTCATTTTAGACACTGTGTACAAACGCCTGGAAAAACCTAAATCCCATGCCAGACTTTTATTCGCTGACTTTTCCTCAGCTTTTAATAAAATGCAGCCTCATATTTTAATTGAGACACTATCCTCTCACTTTAAACTTCCTGGTCAGATTTTAATGTTGCTTTTAAACTTTTTAACAGACAGAGTTCAGCAGGTTTTCGTGAATGGTCAAATGTCGAAAATAATTATGTCAAACACTGGTTCCCCTCAGGGCTGTGTCCTTTCCCCCCTGCTTTTTATCATGTACACAGATAGCGGCAGAACATCACAAGAGAACAGTTATCTGGTAAAGTTCTCAGATGACACTGTTCTGCTGTACCTCCTTCAGGGCTCAGAATCAGGCCATGGCGGTGCTCTACCAACTTTTGTTAAGTGGTGCGATGGCAACTTCCTGGATCTTAATGTCCTGAAAACCAAGGATTTGGTCATAGATTTTAGGAAGAACTGTTGTCACCCTGAATCTAGCATTATCCACAGTGGAGGGGTTAAGTTGGGGATAAGTGTCTTCACCAATGGACACGTACCACATATGTCTGCAGGAGCTGGGGATTGAACCTCCATCCTTCCTGTTGAGAGATACCCAACTCTACCACAGTATAGTCCGTAGTGTGGGCTTGCTCTCAACAAATATCACACAGAAACCAGATAACAGGAAGTAAAGTCGACCAGAAGACATTTACTGCAGCGTTTACAGCAGACCATCAGTTGTTTGACAGAGCTTACAATCTGGTTCTAGACATTTTTTCACCATGACACCAAAGTCCTGCTTCACCATCCTTCATGTGTCCATCTTGGCTGCGACACTTCTCACTTTGGAAGTTTCCTGTAAGTTTTTGTCTTTTTATTAATGGCATACTCTCAATGGCAGCAGCTGCGTGTTACTGTCTATGTGGCTCTGTCACTGTGTGATGTATCGACAAATATTCCTCAGAAAAAATAATGTTATGTAAACTGAAAAGGTATCAAAAGTACTTATAGTGAGGGTGTATATTTAATAAAATCTCCAGAACGCAGCAAAAGGCTCAACTGTGTACCGTTAAAACTCAACACGGAAATGAACTGGATATGAATTTGGAGGAAACAATTTAAATTGTGGTGAAGGAAGGATTACCTTTATAGAGAATTGTATATTGTTGGCAGAGAAAACCTGAAATGCAGTTTTCTACATGCAAACATATTTAGTGATAAAAATGACCAAATGTGTTAGTTTGGTAATTTCTTGCCATTTGTTAGACTTTTTGGTCTCTTTATATCGGTTAAAAGTCGACAAATGCAGCATGGCAAAACAGCAGTGTATCGGCTGAAGTCTGTACTTCCTGAATTCAGACAGTGGTGGGGATCTTTTCACCTTAAATTTAGCCTCCATGAAGCGAGGCTGCCTTATTAAAATGAGCAAACCCCATTCTCAACTCTGACTTCAACACAAAGTACAACACATGACTTCCTGCCCTGAACTTTCCGTGTAGCTGCTGCAACAATGAACAACAAATCTATTGAACTGCTTTTACGTTCTGTCATCATTAGCTGGTGTCACATTTTTGAGAAAGTGAGTTGCCTGTAATTTTTTTACTCTGATAATATTTTGTTTCATCTTTAGCTGTCAGAATTTAATTATACATTCCAAAAAAAATCAATCAAGGATGAGCTAACCTATTCTGTATGTTTGTTGTCTCTTTCCTTGCAGGTACAGATGAATGTGAAGTTCATATTAAAGTACGCAGCAAAACAAAATATGAAGCTCACCTTGGAGAAGAACTAAAGATTGAATGTCCAGTTACGGTCTGCAACGATTCACCACCTGAAATCTCCTGGGTTAAACTCGAAGAAACTGGTGATCCTATAAACATTAGCGGGGGAAGTCGCTTCAGATCAGAGTGGAAAACTTTGAAGCATTTAGATGGAGTTTCAGTTTTGATCATTCAAAACTTTGTCAGAAACGACTCGGGTATATATCGGTGTAAAAGTGGTTCCACTGTTGGACATAAAATCAATGTTTCTGTCAATGGTGAGTGTGACTTTGTTATTAATCTAATGCGTCTTTATTGAGTTAAACTGCCTACAGATACCCTGATACAGCCACTAATAATCAGCTTGAATATAACAGCTACGCTCCGAGCTCCCCATAACATGTGTGAGATTTCTTGTTCTAAATCCACTCTGATCCTGTATTTGATCATGCCTATAAACCCCTCTATTTCAGCCCTGCTCAGAACAGGCTGTTTCTGTGGCTGTACCTTTAAATATGTAAATGAGCTGTGTCTGACCACGCCCCCTCTCTGGAAGGGCTTGGGTGTTTCGGGCGTTCTCGCTCCATGTCCTATTGTTTACGGTGAGAAGGCAGACTCAGAGGGCAGAACAAACACCTAGCTGTGGGAGTGTCACCCACCTGGGGGAGGGGCTACTGCCCTTTGTGATGTCATGAAGGGAAAATCTCCAAAAGGCCTGTTTGAGCACACATTTTCTGAAAAGTGGAGCAGGCAAAAGACAGAAAAGAACGGACGTTTCTCATAATCAGGGGGTTTGTAGACGGACTAGAGACACATATTAGTGTTAGAAAAACATGGTGAAGTATATTTTGCATAATATGTGACCTTTAATGTTTTTCAGATAGTGTTGAACTCATCACCGACCAATCGACAACTTCAGAGCCATGTAAGAAGCCTTCAATCTTTTTTCTGACCTTGATAACTATGGGTTACTTTATTAACTCTGATGCTGAGACAAATGTCCCCTTTCACAGGGAGACCAGAAACTGAGGACACTTTCTGGCCTTTTGTGTGTCGTGTTGTTGGACTCTTGGTGTTTGTCGCCATAGTGATTGCTATGTTTGTCACCTCACAGTCTTTGCGTAAAGGTGAGACTTTTTATTTTACAAGAGTGTTTTTATGAGCCACACAGGCGCTCTGCAGACCTCCAGCTGAGGATTTAAACTAAGAACCACACATTGTGATATCAACAAATATCAAATTATGATCGTTTTTCATTTCAATTCAAGGTGTCCGATGTGGAGGAGGATCCAAAGACACACCAGCAGATCCAAAAAGCCAGCCTTCCCATCAGGCTTTGCCTATGGATCATATCTATGATAGTGTTCAGTAGTCCTCATGTCAGAGGTACAAAGTTAAACGTTACAATGCTGGGTTAAGAATATACGACAGCATTTATTATTGATTGTTTTTTGTGACTCGTGGAAGTCAATTTGTGCTTGTGAATTTCTGCAAATGAACCTGTGGTGATACAAGAAGTGACATTTCTATAGCTTTCAAACCGCTGTATATGAGATCGAACCTATGTGTGTGTGTGTGTGTGTGTGTGTGTGTTTTGCTTCCTCTGTAGGTGACAAACTTTGTGCACAAATCCCCTGCAAGATATATTATTTTGGTTATCTGTATCGCATTTTGGAGCAGACGCACTGATGCCAGGAAGCAAAATGTAACCACACGTCACATATTGAGAGACAAAAGACAAGAGGATGTGTCATAACATGAAAAAATACGCAGCCCTCAACTTATCACCCATCTGTTCTAGGGATCTTATTTCACTCTAAAATATAAATTATAAATGTGATTTTACCACTTCACATACACCCCAATATTAAAGATTCACTGAAGAAATCTAGTTTCTTAAACTGACTAATGAAAACAACAGCCAACCTGTCAGTCAAAGCAGCCCCGCCAAATTATAATATAATTACTAGCTTTCAAAAAAGATTTTTCATAAATTCTTAAAATTCATAAAAATTCACTCTGTAAAGTTTGTGCAAATAAATAAATGAGCTGTCAGAACCAAACCTGTTTTGTAGCATTTCTATTGAGTATGTCATGGTTGGAAACGACTGAATTTGATGAATATCTCTTTTCATATTGCGTCTTTATGTCGGAAACATCCACATGTGCACATCAGATTGTGTCTTGGCTTATTACTCATTACATGCAAATAAAAATACACACGTTCCAAATCGGCTTTTTGTTTTGATTGATTCAATATTGCACGTGTTGTTTCGTGCTAATGCAGCGATAATGTTCCATTCTGTGGTTTCATCACTTCATTGAAACTAGAACAAATTGCTAATGAGTTATGCAAATGACATTCAATATGAGTCACCTTGACATCAACGCTCATTAATAAATGGTCAACTTGATCCACTTCAGTTTGCTTATCAAGCTGGTGAAGGTGTGGACGACGCCAAGGTTTTCATTTTAGACACTGTGTACAAACGCCTGGAAAAACCTAAATCCCATGCCAGACTTTTATTCGCTGACTTTTCCTCAGCTTTTAATAAAATGCAGCCTCATATTTTAATTGAGACACTATCCTCTCACTTTAAACTTCCTGGTCAGATTTTAATGTTGCTTTTAAACTTTTTAACAGACAGAGTTCAGCAGGTTTTTGTGAATGGTCAAATGTCGAAAATAATTATGTCAAACACTGGTTCCCCTCAGGGCTGTGTCCTTTCCCCCCTGCTTTTTATCATGTACACAGATAGCGGCAGAACATCACAAGAGAACAGTTATCTGGTAAAGTTCTCAGATGACACTGTTCTGCTGTACCTCCTTCAGGGCTCAGAATCAGGCCATGGCGGTGCTCTACCAACTTTTGTTAAGTGGTGCGATGGCAACTTCCTGGATCTTAATGTCCTGAAAACCAAGGATTTGGTCATAGATTTTAGGAAGAACTGTTGTCCCCCTGAATCTAGCATTATCCACAGTGGAGGGGTTAAGTTGGGGTTAAGTGTCTTCACCAATGGACACGTCCACATATGTCTGCAGGAGCTGGGGATTGAAACTCCATTCTTCCTGTTGAGAGATACCCAACTCTACCACAGTATAGTCCGTAGTGTGGGTTTGCTCTCAACAAATATCATACAGAAACCAGATAACAGGAAGTAAAGTCGACCAGAAGACATTTACTGCAGCGTTTACAGCAGACCATCAGTTGTTTGACAGAGCTTACAATCTGGTTCTAGACATTTTTTCACCATGACACCAAAGTCCTGCTTCACCATCCTTCATGTGTCCATCTTGGCTGCGACACTTCTCACTTTGGAAGTTTCCTGTAAGTTTTTGTCTTTTTATTAATGGCATACTCTCAATGGCAGCAGCTGCGTGTTACTGTCTTTGTGGCTCTGTCACTGCGTGATGTATCGACAAATATTCCTCAGAAAAAATAATGTTATGTAAACTGAAAAGGTATCAAAAGTACTTATAGTGAGGGTGTATATTTAATAAAATCTCCAGAACGCAGCAAAAGGCTCAACTGTGTACCGTTAAAACTCAACACGGAAATGAACTGGATATGAATTTGGAGGAAACAATTTAAATTGTGGTGAAGGAAGGATTACCTTTATAGAGAATTGTATATTGTTGGCAGAGAAAACCTGAAATGCAGTTTTCTACATGCAAACATATTTAGTGATAAAAATGACCAAATGTGTTAGTTTGGTAATTTCTTGCCATTTGTTAGACTTTTTGGTCTCTTTATATCGGTTAAAAGTCGACAAATGCAGCATGGCAAAACAGCAGTGTATCGGCTGAAGTCTGTACTTCCTGAATTCAGACAGTGGTGGGGATCTTTTCACCTTAAATTTAGCCTCCATGAAGCGAGGCTGCCTTATTAAAATGAGCAAACCCCATTCTCAACTCTGACTTCAACACAAAGTACAACACATGACTTCCTGCCCTGAACTTTCCGTGTAGCTGCTGCAACAATGAACAACAAATCTATTGAACTGCTTTTACGTTCTGTCATCATTAGCTGGTGTCACATTTTTGAGAAAGTGAGTTGCCTGTAATTTTTTTACTCTGATAATATTTTGTTTCATCTTTAGCTGTCATCAGAATTTAATTATACATTCCAAAAAAAATCATTGAAGGATGAGCTAACCTATTCTGTATGTTTGTTGTCTCTTTCCTTGCAGGTACAGATGAATGTGAAGTTCATATTAAAGTACGCAGCAAAACAAAATATGAAGCTCACCTTGGAGAAGAACTAAAGATTGAATGTCCAGTTACGGTCTGCAACGATTCACCACCTGAAATCTCCTGGGTTAAACTCGAAGAAACTGGTGATCCTATAAACATTAGCGGGGGAAGTCGCTTCAGATCAGAGTGGAAAACTTTGAAGCATTTAGATGGAGTTTCAGTTTTGATCATTCAAAACTTTGTCAGAAACGACTCGGGTATATATCGGTGTAAATGTGGTTCCAGTGTTGGACATAAAATCAATGTTTCTGTCAATGGTGAGTGTGACTTTGTTATTAATCTAATGTGTCTTTATTGAGTTAAACTGCCTACAGATACCCTGATACAGCCACTAAATAATCAGCTTGAATATAACAGCTACGCTCCGAGCTCCGAGCTACTCTGATCCTGTATTTGATCATGTCTATAAACCCCTCTATTTCAGCCCTGCTCAGAACAGGCTGTTTCTGTGTCTGTAGCTTTAAATATGTAAATGAGCTGTGTCTGACCAGGCCCCCTCTCTGGAAGGGCTTGGGTGTACTCGGTGCTTTCTCTCTCCATGTCCTATTGTTTACGGTGAGAAGGCAGACTCAGAGGGCAGAACAAACACCTAGCTGTGGGAGTGTCACCCACCTGGGGGAGGGGCTACTGCCCTTTGTGATGTCATGAAGGGAAAATCTCCAAAAGGCCTGTTTGAGCACACATTTTCTGAAAAGTGGAGCAGGCAAAAGACAGAAAAGAACGGACGTTTCTCATAATCAGGGGGTTTGTAAACAGACTAGAGACACATATTAGTGTTAGAAAAACATGGTGAAGTGTATTTTGCATAATATGTGACCTTTAATGTTTTTCAGATAGTGTTGAACTCATCACCTACCAATCGACAACTTCAGAGCCACGTAAGAAGCCTTCCATCTTTTTTCTGACCTTGATAACTATGGGTTACTTTATTAACTCTGATGCTGAGACAAATGTCCCCTTTTCACAGGGAGACCAGAAACTGAGGACGCTTTCTGGCCTTTTGTGTGTCGTGTTGTTGGACTCTTGGTGTTTGTCGCCATAGTGATTGCTATGTTTGTCACCTCACACTGTTTGCGTAAAGGTGAGACTTTTTATTTTACACTAGTGTTTTTATGAGCCACACAGGCGCTCTGCAGACCTCCAGCTGAGGATTTAAACTAAGAACCACACATTGTGATATCAACAAATATCAAATTATGATCGTTTTTCATTTCAATTCAAGGTGTCCGATGTGGAGGAGGATCCAAAGACACACCAGCAGATCCAAACAGCCAGCCTTCCCATCAGGCTTTGCCTATGGATCATATCTATGATAGTGTTCAGTAGTCCTCATGTCAGAGGTACAAAGTTAAACGTTACAATGCTGGGTTAAGAATATACGACAGTATTTACTATTGATTGTTTTTTGTGACTCGTGGAAGTCAATTTGTGCTTGTGAATTTCTGCAAATGAACCTGTGGCGATACAAGAAGTGACATTTCTATTGCTTTCAAACCGCTGTATATGAGATCGAACCTGTGTGTGTGTGTGTGTGTGTGTGTGTGTTTTGCTTCCTCTGTAGGTGACAAACTTTGTGCACAAATCCCCTGCAAATATCACTGTGAAATGTCAGTAAATCTATAGTGCTGTGAGTTTTTCTACCTTTGGTCTCTATTCTCACTTCTGATGTTTATTTAAAATATATATTATTTTGGTTATCTGTATCGCATTTTGGAGCAGACGCACTGATGCCAGGAAGCAAAATGTAACCACAGGTCACATATTGAGAGACAAAAGACAAGAGGATGTGTCGTAACATGAAAGAATACGCAGCCCTCAACTTATCACCCATCTGTTCTAGGGATCTTATTTCACTCTAAAATATAAATTATAAATGTGATTTTACCACTTGACATACAGCCCAATATTAAAGATTCACTGAAGAAATCTAGTTTCTTACACTGACAAATGAAAACAACAGCCAACCTGTCAGTCAAAACAGCCCCGCCAAATTATAATATAATTACTAGCTTTCAAAAAAGATTTTTCATAAATTCTTAAAATTCATAAAAATTCACTCTGTAAAGTTTGTGCAAATAAATAAATGAGCTGTCAGAACCAAACCTGTTTTGTAGCAGCTTTAAATGTGTTTATTTCTGCTGTAATAACAGTTTTAACATGTGATCTAATGGGGTTTCCTCGGCTTTAGCAGCCAGCCTCAAGTGGACACTCGAGGACATGCAGTTTTTTGGGCCTACAGATTGACTTCATTTTTTTAACACCAAAAGGTTTCAACTAATTTAATGTTAGCTTAAGTGCTTTATGTTAATTTCTATTCAGTATGTCATGGTTGGAAACCACTGAATTTGATGAATATCTCCTTTCAGATTGCGTCTTTATGTCGGAAACATCCACATGTGCACATCAGATTGTGTCTTGGCTTATTACTCTTTACATGCAAATAAAAATACACACGTTCCAAATCGGCTTTTTGTTTTGATTGATTCAATATTGCACGTGTTGTTTCGTGCTAATGCAGCGATAATGTTCCATTCTGTGGTTTCATCACTTCATTGAAACTAGAACAAATTGCTAATGAGTTATGCAAATGACATTCAATATGAGTCACCTTGACATCAACGCTCATTAATAAATGGTCAACTTGATCCACTTCAGTTTGCTTATCAAGCTGGTGAAGGTGTGGACGACGCCAAGGTTTTCATTTTCGACACTGTGTACAAACGCCTGGAAAAACCTAAATCCCATGCCAGACTTTTATTCGCTGACTTTTCCTCAGCTTTTAATAAAATGCAGCCTCATATTTTAATTGAGACACTATCCTCTCACTTTAAACTTCCTGGTCAGATTTTAATGTTGCTTTTAAACTTTTTAACAGACAGAGTTCAGCAGGTTTTCGTGAATGGTCAAATGTCGAAAATAATTATGTCAAACACTGGTTCCCCTCAGGGCTGTGTCCTTTCCCCCCTGCTTTTTATCATGTACACAGATAGCGGCAGAACATCACAAGAGAACAGTTATCTGGTAAAGTTCTCAGATGACACTGTTCTGCTGTACCTCCTTCAGGGCTCAGAATCAGGCCATGGCGGTGCTCTACCAACTTTTGTTAAGTGGTGCGATGGCAACTTCCTGGATCTTAATGTCCTGAAAACCAAGGATTTGGTCATAGATTTTAGGAAGAACTGTTGTCACCCTGAATCTAGCATTATCCACAGTGGAGGGGTTAAGTTGGGGTTAAGTGTCTTCACCAATGGACACGTCCACATATGTCTGCAGGAGCTGGGGATTGAACCTCCATCCTTCCTGTTGAGAGATACCCAACTCTACCACAGTATAGTCCGTAGTGTGGGCTTGCTCTCAACAAATATCACACAGAAACCAGATAACAGGAAGTAAAGTCGACCAGAAGACATTTACTGCAGCGTTTACAGCAGACCATCAGTTGTTTGACAGAGCTGAGAATCTGGTTCTAGACATTTTTTCACCATGACACCAAAGTCCTGCTTCACCATCCTTCATGTGTCCATCTTGGCTGCGACACTTCTCACTTTGGAAGTTTCCTGTAAGTTTTTGTCTTTTTATTAATGGCATACTCTCAATGGCAGCAGCTGCGTGTTACTGTCTTTGTGGCTCTGTCGCTGCGTGATGTGTCGACAAATATTCCTCAGAAAAAATAATGTTATGTAAACTGAAAAGGTATTAAAAGTACTTATAGTGAGGGTGTATATTTAATAAAATCTCCAGAACGCAGCAAAAGGCTCAACTGTGTACCGTTAAAACTCAACATGGAAATGAACTGGATATGAATTTGGAGGAAACAATTTAAATTGTGGTGAAGGAAGGATTACCTTTATAGAGAATTGTATATTGTTGGCAGAGAAAACCTGAAATGCAGTTTTCTACATGCAAACATATTTAGTGATAAAAATGACCAAATGTGTTAGTTTGGTAATTTCTTGCCATTTGTTAGACTTTTTGGTCTCTTTATATCGGTTAAAAGTCGACAAATGCAGCATGGCAAAACAGCAGTGTATCGGCTGAAGTCTGTACTTCCTGAATTCAGACAGTGGTGGGGATCTTTTCACCTTAAATTTAGCCTCCATGAAGCGAGGCTGCCTTATTAAAATGAGCAAACCCCATTCTCAACTCTGACTTCAACACAAAATCAATCATTACTTCACATAAACTGGAACCTATTTAATTTTAAGAGAGTTTCTTTAATGTAACAAAGCACCCAAAGGTTAGAATATGTCACCTTAACCACAGCAATACAACACATGACTTCCTGCCCTTAACTTTCCATGTAGCTGCTGCAACAATGAACAACAAATCTATTGAACTGCTTTTATGTTCTGTCATCATTAGCTGGTGTCTCATTTTTGAGAAAGTGTGTTGCCTGCAAATGTTTTAACTTATTTATTTGTACAAAAAAATCATTCAAGGATGAGCTAACCTATTCTGTATGTTTGTTGTCATTTTCCTTGCAGGTACAGATGAGTGTCATGTTCAAATTAAAGTACGCCGATACACAAAATATAAAGCTCACCTTGGAGAAGAACTAAAGATTGACTGTCCAGTTACGTTCTGCGATGATACACCACCTGAAATCTCCTGGTTTAAACTCAACTTAACTGGTGATCCTATAAACATTAGCAGGGGAAGTCGCTTCAAATCAGAGTGGAAACCTTTGAAGCATTTAGAGGGAGTTTTAGTTTTGATCATTCAAAACTTTGTCAGAAACGACTCGGGTATATATTGGTGTGGAAGCAGTTCCAGTCTTGGACATAAAATCAGTGTTTCTGTCAATGGTGAGTGTGACTTTGTTATTAATCTAATGTGTCTTTATTGAGTTAAACTGCCTACAGATACCCTGATACAGCCACGTAATAATCAGCTTGAATATAACAGCTACGCCCTGAGCTCCCCATAACATGTGTGTGAAGTTTCTTGTTTTAAATCCACTCTGATCCTGTATTTGATCATGCCTATAAACCACTCTATTTCGGCCCTGCTCAGAAAAGGCTGTTTCTGTGTCTGTACCTTTAAATATGTAAATTCTACAATTCTACAATTCACTCAGCAGACGCTTTTATCCAAAGCGACGTACATCAGAGAGTAAGTACAACTCAAGAAAGGATCTAGAAAAAAGGGAACAATGTCAGTAAGAGCAAACGATCAGCTTTGAGTCTGATTGGACACACAGGTGCTGACAGGAAGTGACCAGAGGCAAAGCACAACATTGATGGCAGTTCTTGAGAGCTCTAATCAGTATAGAAACCATCTTATAAGTCGTCGTTATCAAACAAAAACAATCGTGACAACCATCATCATCATCAATAATATCGAACCATCATCATTAAGTTAGTAGGTATTCATGAAAGAGCTGGGTCTTTAGTTTTTTCTTAAAGGTGCAGAGGGACTCTGCAGATCGAATGGAGTTTGGAAGTTCATTCCACCACCGGGGGGCGACAGAGGAGAAGAGTCTAGTCAGAGACTTAGGAGCCTGTTGTGAAGGTTGGATCAGATGCCTTTCATTGGCAGAGCGTAGAGGGCAGGAGGGAGTGTAGACCTGGGGTGCGTTCGAATTGTCCCTCCTATCTCCTTTCACTATCCACTTTACCTTAACCCCGGAAGCATTTAAGTGGCGGCCATGATAAGAGCCGTTCGAATTCTCTAAAAGTTAAGGAAAGGTGGGTAAATGCTTCCTTTATAACCTCCTTTAGCATAGGATACACTGGACCATCCTTTAGGAAAGGAGATGAGATATGCCGCCCCACAATTCCTTGCGGCCGCAACATTTAAAGCGAGTCGCGCATCCGACCGTTCACGGAAATTAACGATGATCGTAAAGTGACACAGATCAAGTAAGGGATAAAAGATAAAAGTCATTTTTATCCAGATGATGTTTTAGTCAACATATTTCATTCACTTAAGAATGCTTTGTGCAGTTGTACATTTGTATGTTTAAAACATTATATGAAGGTTATATCTTATTAATGTAACAATTAATTTCATATTTATGTTGATGTTGATTTCTGAGTGGACAGGAAGGTGATGGTTTCACTTTTGTTACTCGTAGCCTGGTAGTCTATATTTCTTTTATTTCAATCCCAACCTTGTGGTGATTAGGATTATTTCACCGGTAAGAAGGCACAGAAAAAGTTTTTTAGATGCGTTTTTTGTAGTTCATTTTCGGAACATTGTAGTTTCAACACGGCGGACCCACGTCATTAACCTCCGCCGGCCCGTCGCGACGTCGCCTAGTGGAAATGTGGTCGGATTGTCAGAGCAAGGAGATCGCCTTTCCCTAAGTCCTTTATGAATTCTCCTAACATCTATCCTTGACCTCATGACGTTTTCGCGGGGTTAAGGTAAAGTGGCTAGTGAAAGGCGATAGGAGGGACAATTCGAACGCACCCCTGGATGAGAGAGTTAAAGTAAGGAGGAGACGTTTTTGTCGCTGTTTTGTAAGCGAGCAGCAGAGTTTTAAATTTGATGTGAGCAGTAACTGGGAGCCAGTGTAAGGAGATGAACAGCGGAGTGACATGTGCTCTTTTAGGAAGGTTGAAGACAAGTCGAGCTGCTGCATTTTGTATCATTTGCAGAGGTTGGATAGTGCATGTAGGAAGACCTGCCAGTAGAGAGTTGCAATAATCGATGCATGTACAGGGCAAATCGACATGACAGGGCAATCGAGGCTACTTGAACCTTAAAAGTTAGCTGGTCATCAATCATGACACCCAGGTTCCGGGCAGACTTTGGTTGTTCCAAGCTGGATATAGATCCTTGCATAGAGGGACTGGCTGGGATGACAAGGAGCTCAGTCTTTTGAAATATTGAGTTGAAGGTGCCGTTCATTCATCCATTTAAAGATATCAGCAAGGCATGATGAGATTCTTGCAGAGACTGTAACATCATCTGGCGGGAATGACAGGAAGAGCTGGGTATCATCAGCATAGCAGTGGTATGAGAAGCCATGAGAGCGGATTATCGAACCAAGTGAGCTTGTGTATATGGAGAAGAGAAGGGGACCAAGCACTGACCCTTGAGGTACCCCTGTGGATAAGCTGTGCGCTTTGGACACTTCTCCCTTCCACGACACTCTAAAGGATCGCCCAGAGAGGTAGGACACGAACCAGCAGAGGGCAGATCCTGAGATGCCAAATACAGAGAGCGTGGATAGGAGGATTTGATGCTTGACTGTGTCAAAGGCAGCAGACAGGTCTAGCAGTAATAGAACTGAGGACTGACTGACAAGCTCTGGCAACTTGTAGCGATTCTGTTACTGACAGTAGTGCAGTTTCAGTAGAGTGGCCCCGCTTAAAGCCTGACTGATTTGGGTCAAACAGATCGTGTCTGGACAGAAACTCAGACTTCCTTAAAGACTGTGTCAAGTATTTTTGACAGAAAGGGCAGAAGAGAAACCGGTCTGTAGTTTTCAACCTGGGCTGGGTTTAGTGTGGGTTTTTTGAGCAGAGGGGTGACCCGAGCTCGCTTGAATGCGGTGGGGAACACACCCGTTGACAGAGAGGAGTTGATGATATGCTTTAGTGCAGCATTAAGCGGAGAGGAAATGGTCTGCAGGAGGCTTGATGGTATTGGGTCCAGAGGACAGGTGGTGGGCCGATAAAAGCGTCTGCTGAGTGAATTGTAGAATTGTAGAATTTACATATTTAAAGGTACAGACACAGAAACAGCCTGTTCTGAGCAGGGCTGAAATAAAGAGGTTTATAGGCATGATCAAATACAGGATCAGAGTGGATTTAAAACAAGAAACTTCACACATGTTATGGGGAGCTCGGAGCGTAACACATATTAGTGTTAGAAAAACATGGTGAAGTGTATTTTGTATAGTGTTGTTGTTATAGTGTGATGTTTTTCAGATAGTGTTGAACTCATCACCGACCAATCGACAACTTCAGAGCCACGTAAGAAGCCTTCCATCTTTTTTCTGACCTTGATAACTATGGGTTACTTTATTAACTCTGATGCTGAGACAAATGTCCCCTTTTCACAGGGAGACCAGAAACTGAGGACGCTTTCTGGCCTTTTGTGTGTCGTGTTATTGGACTCTTGGTGTTTGTCGCCATAGTGATTGCTATGTTTGTCACCTCACACTGTTTGCGTAAAGGTGAGACTTTTTATTTTACACGAGTGTTTTTATGAGCCACACAGGCGCTCTGCAGACCTCCAGCTGAGGATTTAAACTAAGAACCACACATTGTGATATCAACAAATATCTAATTATGATCGTTTTTCATTTTAATTCAAGGTGTCTGATGTGGAGGAGGATCCAAAGACACACCAGCAGATCCAAACAGCCAGCCTTCCCATCAGGCTTTGCCTATGGATCATATCTATGATAGTGTTCAGTAGTCCTCATGTCAGAGGTACAAAGTTAAACGTTACAATGCTGGGTTAAGAATATACAACAGCATTTATTATTGATTGTTTTTTGTGACTCGTGGAAGTCAATTTGTGCTTGTGAATTTCTGCAAATGAACCTGTAGTGATACAAGAAGTGACATTTCTATTGCTTTCAAACCGCTGTATATGAGATCGAACCTGTGTGTGTGTGTGTGTGTGTGTGTGTGTGTGTGTGTGTGTGTGTGTGTGTGTTTTGCTTCCTCTGTAGGTGTGACAAACTTTGTGCACAAATCCCCTGCAAATATCACTGTGAAATGTCAGTAAATCTATAGTGCTGTGAGTTTTTCTACCTTTGGTCTCTATTCTCACTTCTGATGTTTATTTAAAATATATATTATTTTGGTTATCTGTATCACATTGTGGAGCAGACGCACTGATGCCAGGAAACAAAATGTAACCACAGGTCACATATTGAGAGACAAAAGACAAGAGGATGTGTCGTAACATGAAAAAATACGCAGCCCTCAACTTATCACCCATCTGTTCTAGGGATCTTATTTCACTCTAAAATATAAATTATAAATGTGATTTTACCACTTGACATACAGCCCAATATTAAAGATTCACTGAAGAAATCTAGTTTCTTAAACTGACAAATGAAAACAACAGCCAACCTGTCAGTCAAAGCAGCCTCGCCAAATTATAATATAATTACTAGCCTTCAAAAAAGATTTTTCATAAATTCTTAAAATTCATAAAAATTCACCCTGTAAAGTTTGTGCAAATAAATAAATGAGCTGTCAGAACCAAACCTGTTTTGTAGCAGCTTTAAATGTGTTTATTTCTGCTGTAATAACAGTTTTAACATGTGATCTAATGGGGTTTCCTCGGCTTTAGTGGACACTTGAGGAAATGCAGTTTTTTGGGCCTACAGATTGACTTCATTTTTTTAACACCAAAAGGTTTCAACTAATTTAATGTTAGCTTAAGTGCTTTATGTTAATTTCTATTCAGTATGTCATGGTTGGAAACGACTGAATTTGATGAATATCTCCTTTCAGATTGCGTCTTTATGTCGGAAACATCCACATGTGCACATCAGATTGTGTCTTGGCTTATTACTCTTTACATGCAAATAAAAATACACACGTTCCAAATCGGCTTTTTGTTTTGATTGATTCAATATTGCACGTGTTGTTTCGTGCTAATGCAGCGATAATGTTCCATTCTGTGGTTTCATCACTTCATTGAAACTAGAACAAATTGCTAATGAGTTATGCAAATGACATTCAATATGAGTCACCTTGACATCAACGCTCATTAATAAATGGTCAACTTGATCCACTTCAGTTTGCTTATCAAGCTGGTGAAGGTGTGGACGACGCCAAGGTTTTCATTTTAGACACTGTGTACAAACGCCTGGAAAAACCTAAATCCCATGCCAGACTTTTATTCGCTGACTTTTCCTCAGCTTTTAATAAAATGCAGCCTCATATTTTAATTGAGACACTATCCTCTCACTTTAAACTTCCTGGTCAGATTTTAATGTTGCTTTTAAACTTTTTAACAGACAGAGTTCAGCAGGTTTTCGTGAATGGTCAAATGTCGAAAATAATTATGTCAAACACTGGTTCCCCTCAGGGCTGTGTCCTTTCCCCCCTGCTTTTTATCATGTACACAGATAGCGGCAGAACATCACAAGAGAACAGTTATCTGGTAAAGTTCTCAGATGACACTGTTCTGCTGTACCTCCTTCAGGGCTCAGAATCAGGCCATGGCGGTGCTCTACCAACTTTTGTTAAGTGGTGCGATGGCAACTTCCTGGATCTTAATGTCCTGAAAACCAAGGATTTGGTCATAGATTTTAGGAAGAACTGTTGTCCCCCTGAATCTAGCATTATCCACAGTGGAGGGGTTAAGTTGGGGTTAAGTGTCTTCACCAATGGACACGTCCACATATGTCTGCAGGAGCTGGGGATTGAACCTCCATCCTTCCTGTTGAGAGATACCCAACTCTACCACAGTATAGTCCGTAGTGTGGGTTTGCTCTCAACAAATATCACACAGAAACCAGATAACAGGAAGTAAAGTCGACCAGAAGACATTTACTGCAGCGTTTACAGCAGACCATCAGTTGTTTGACAGAGCTGAGAATCTGGTTCTAGACATTTTTTCACCATGACACCAAAGTCCTGCTTCACCATCCTTCATGTGTCCATCTTGGCTGCGACACTTCTCACTTTGGAAGTTTCCTGTAAGTTTTTGTCTTTTTATTAATGGCATACTCTCAATGGCAGCAGCTGCGTGTTACTGTCTTTGTGGCTCTGTCGCTGCGTGATGTATCGACAAATATTCCTCAGAAAAAATAATGTTATGTGAACTGAAAAGGTATTAAAAGTACTTATAGTGAGGGTGTATATTTAATAAAATCTCCAGAACGCAGCAAAAGGCTCAACTGTGTACCGTTAAAACTCAACACGGAAATGAACTGGATATGAATTTGGAGGAAACAATTTAAATTGTGGTGAAGGAAGGATTACCTTTATAGAGAATTGTATATTGTTGGCAGAGAAAACCTGAAATGCAGTTTTCTACATGCAAACATATTTAGTGATAAAAATGACCAAATGTGTTAGTTTGGTAATTTCTTGCCATTTTTTAGACTTTTTGGTCTCTTTATATCGGTTAAAAGTCGACAAATGCAGCATGGCAAAACAGCAGTGTATCGGCTGAAGTCTGTACTTCCTGAATTCAGACAGTGGTGGGGATCTTTTCACCTTAAATTTAGCCTCCATGAAGCGAGGCTGCCTTATTAAAATGAGCAAACCCCATTCTCAACTCTGACTTCAACACAAAATCAATCATTACTTCACATAAACTGGAACCTATTTAATTTTAAGAGAGTTTCTTTAATGTAACAAAGCACCCAAAGGTTAGAATATGTCACCTTAACCACAGCAATACAACACATGACTTCCTGCCCTTAACTTTCCATGTAGCTGCTGCAACAATGAACAACAAATCTATTGAACTGCTTTTATGTTCTGTCATCATTAGCTGGTGTCTCATTTTTGAGAAAGCGTGTTGCCTGCAAATGTTTTAACTTATTGATTTGTACAAAAAAATCATTCAAGGATGAGCTAACCTATTCTGTATGTTTGTTGTCATTTTCCTTGCAGGTACAGATGAGTGTCATGTTCAAATTAAAGTACGCCGATACACAAAATATAAAGCTCACCTTGGAGAAGAACTAAAGATTGACTGTCCAGTTACGTTCTGCGACGATACACCACCTGAAATCTCCTGGTTTAAACTCAACTTAACTGGTGATCCTATAAACATTAGCGGGGGAAGTCGCTTCAAATCAGAGTGGAAACCTTTGAAGCATTTAGAGGGAGTTTTAGTTTTGATCATTCAAAACTTTGTCAGAAACGACTCGGGTATATATTGGTGTGGAAGCAGTTCCAGTCTTGGACATAAAATCAGTGTTTCTGTCAATGGTGAGTGTGACTTTGTTATTAATCTAATGTGTCTTTATTGAGTTAAACTGCCTACAGATACCCTGATACAGCCACGTAATAATCAGCTTGAATATAACAGCTACGCCCTGAGCTCCCCATAACATGTGTGTGAAGTTTCTTGTTTTAAATCCACTCTGATCCTGTATTTGATCATGCCTATAAACCACTCTATTTCGGCCCTGCTCAGAAAAGGCTGTTTCTGTGTCTGTACCTTTAAATATGTAAATTCTACAATTCTACAATTCACTCAGCAGACGCTTTTATCCAAAGCGACGTACATCAGAGAGTAAGTACAACTCAAGAAAGGATCTAGAAAAAAGGGAACAATGTCAGTAAGAGCAAACGATCAGCTTTGAGTCTGATTGGACACACAGGTGCTGACAGGAAGTGACCAGAGGCAAAGCACAACATTGATGGCAGTTCTTGAGAGCTCTAATCAGTATAGAAACCATCTTATAAGTCGTCGTTATCAAACAAAAACAATCGTGACAACCATCATCATCATCAATGATATCGAAACCATCATCATTAAGTTAGTAGGTATTCATGAAAGAGCTGGGTCTTTAGCTTTTTCTTAAAGGTGCAGAGGGACTCTGCAGATCGAATGGAGTTTGGAAGTTCATTCCACCACCGGGGGGCGACAGAGGAGAAGAGTCTAGTCAGAGACTTAGGAGCCTGTTGTGAAGGTTGGATCAGATGCCTTTCATTGGCACAGCGTAGTGGGCGGGAGGGAGTGTAGACCTGGGGTGCGTTCGAATTGTCCCTCCTATCTCCTTTCACTATCCACTTTACCTTAACCCCGGAAGCATTTAAGTGGCGGCCATGATAAGAGCCGTTCGAATTCTCTAAAAGTTAAGGAAAGGTGGGTAAATGCTTCCTTTATAACCTCCTTTAGCATAGGATACACTGGACCATCCTTTAGGAAAGGAGATGAGATATGCCGCCCCACAATTCCTTGCGGCCGCAACATTTAAAGCGAGTCGCGCATCCGACCGTTCACGGAAATTAACGATGATCGTAAAGTGACACAGATCAAGTAAGGGATAAAAGATAAAAGTCATTTTTATCCAGATGATGTTTTAGTCAACATATTTCATTCACTTAAGAATGCTTTGTGCAGTTGTACATTTGTATGCTTAAAACATTATATGTAGGTTATATCTTATTAATGTAACAATTAATTTCATATTTATTTTGATGTTGATTTCTGAGTGGACAGGAAGGTGATGGTTTCACTTTTGTTACTCGTAGCCTGGTAGTCTATATTTCTTTTATTTCAATCCCAACCTTGTGGTGATCAGGATTATTTCACCGGTAAGAAGGCACAGAAAAACTTCTTTAGATGCGTTTTTTGTAGTCCATTTTCTGAACATTGTAGTTTCAACACGGCGGACCCACGTCATTAACCTCCGCCGGCCCGTCGCGACGTCGCCTCGTGGAAATGTGGTCGGATTGTCAGAGCAACGAGATCGCCTTTCCCTAAGTCCTTTATGAATTCTCCTAACATCTTTCCTTAACCTCATGACGTTTTCACGGGGTTAAGGTAAAGTGGATAGTGAAAGGCGATAGGAGGGACAATTCGAACGCACCCCTGGATGAGAGAGTTAAAGTAAGGGGGAGACGTTTTTGTTGCTGTTTTATGAGCGAGCAGCAGAGTTTTAAATTTGATGCGAGCAGTAACTGGGAGCCAGTGTAAGGAGATGAACAGCGGAGTGACATGTGCTCTTTTAGGAAGGTTGAAGACCAGTCGAGCTGCTGCATTTTGTATCATTTGCAGAGGTTGGATAGTGCATGTAGGAAGACCTGCCAGTAGAGAGTTGCAATAATCGATGCATGTACAGGGCAAATCGACATGACAGGGCAATCGAGGCTACTTGAACCTTAAAAGTTAGCTGGTCATCAATCATGACACCCAGGTTCCGGGCAGACTTTGGTTGTTCCAAGCTGGATATTGATCCTCTGGTTGCATAGAGGGACTGGCTGGGATGACAAGGAGCTCAGTCTTTGAAAGATTGAGTTGAAGGTGCCGTTCATTCATCCATTTAAAGATATCAGCAAGGCATGATGAGATTCTTGCAGAGACTGTAACATCATCTGGCGGGAATGACAGGAAGAGCTGGGTATCATCAGCATAGCAGTGGTATGAGAAGCCATGAGAGCGGATTATCGAACCAAGTGAGCTTGTGTATATGGAGAAGAGAAGGGGACCAAGCACTGAACCTTGAGGTACCCCTGTGGATAAGCTGTGCGCTTTGGACACTTCTCCCTTCCACGACACTCTAAAGGATCGCCCAGAGAGGTAGGACACGAACCAGCAGAGGGCAGATCCTGAGATGCCAAATACAGAGAAGGAGGATTTGATGCTTGACTGTGTCAAAGGCAGCAGACAGGTCTAGCAGTAATAGAACTGAGGACTGACCCGCAGCTCTGGCAGCTCGTAGCGATTCTGTTACTGACAGTAGTGCAGTTTCAGTAGAGTGGCCCCGCTTAAAGCCTGACTGATTTGGGTCAAACAGATCGTGTCTGGACAGAAACTCAGACTTGCTTAAAGACTGTGTCAAGTGTTTTTGACAGAAAGGGCAGAAGAGAAACCGGTCTGTAGTTTTCAACCTGGGCTGGGTTTAGTGTGGGTTTTTTGAGCAGAGGGGTGACCCGAGCTTGCTTGAATGCGGTGGGGAACACACCCGTTGACAGAGAGGAGTTGATGATATGCTTCAGTGCAGCATTAAGCGGAGAGGAAATGATCTGCAGGAGGCTTGATGGTATTGGGTCCAGAGGACAGTGGTGGGCCGATAAAAGCGTCTGCTGAGTGAATTGTAGAATTTACATATTTAAAGGTACAGACACAGAAACAGCCTGTTCTGAGCAGGGCTGAAATAGAGGGGTTTATAGGCATGATCAAATTCAGGATCAGAGTGGATTTAAAACAAGAAACTTCACACATGTTATGGGGAGCTCGGAGCGTAACACATATTAGTGTTAGAAAAACATGGTGAAGTGTATTTTGTATAGTGTTGTTGTTATAGTGTGATGTTTTTCAGATAGTGTTGAACTCATCACCGACCAATCGACAACTTCAGAGCCACGTAAGAACCCTTCCATCTTTTTTTCTGACCTTGATAACTATGGGTTACTTTATTAACTCTGATGCTGAGACAAATGTCCCCTTTTCACAGGGAGACCAGAAACTGAGGACGCTTTCTGGCCTTTTGTGTGTCGTGTTATTGGACTCTTGGTGTTTGTCGCCATAGTGATTGCTATGTTTGTCACCTCACACTGTTTGCGTAAAGGTGAGACTTTTTATTTTACACGAGTGTTTTTATGAGCCACACAGGCGCTCTGCAGACCTCCAGCTGAGGATTTAAACTAAGAACCACACATTGTGATATCAACAAATATCAAATTATGATCGTTTTTCATTTCAATTCAAGGTGTCTGATGTGGAGGAGGATCCAAAGACACACCAGCAGATCCAAAAAGCCAGCCTTCCCATCAGGCTTTGCCCATGGATCATATCTATGATAGTGTTCAGTAGTCCTCATGTCAGAGGTACAAAGTTAAACGTTACAATGCTGGGTTAAGAACATACAACAGCATTTATTATTGATTGTTTTTTGTGACTCGTGGAAGTCAATTTGTGCTTGTGAATTTCTGCAAATGAACCTGTAGTGATACAAGAAGTGACATTTCTATTGCTTTCAAACCGCTGTATATGAGATCGAACCTGTGTGTGTGTGTGTGTGTGTGTGTGTGTGTGTTTTGCTTCCTCTGTAGGTGTGACAAACTTTGTGCACAAATCCCCTGCAAATATCACTGTGAAATGTCAGTAAATCTATAGTGCTGTGAGTTTTTCTACCTTTGGTCTCTATTCTCACTTCTGATGTTTATTTAAAATATATATTATTTTGGTTATCTGTATCACATTGTGGAGCAGACGCACTGATGCCAGGAAACAAAATGTAACCACAGGTCACATACTGAGAGACAAAAGACAAGAGGATGTGTCGTAACATGAAAGAATACGCAGCCCTCAACTTATCACCCATCTGTTCTAGGGATCTTATTTCACTCTAAAATATAAATTATAAATGTGATTTTACCACTTGACATACAGCCCAATATTAAAGATTCACTGAAGAAATCTAGTTTCTTACACTGACAAATGAAAACAACAGCCAACCTGTCAGTCAAAACAGCCTCGCCAAATTATAATATAATTACTAGCTTTCAAAAAAGATTTTTCATAAATTCTTAAAATTCATAAAAATTCACCCTGTAAAGTTTGTGCAAATAAATAAATGAGCTGTCAGAACCAAACCTGTTTTGTAGCATTTCTATTCAGTATGTCATGGTTGGAAACGACTGAATTTGATGAATATCTCTTTTCATATTGCGTCTTCATGTCGGAAACATCCACATGTGCACATCAGATTGTGTCTTGGCTTATTACTCATTACATGCAAATAAAAATACACACGTTCCAAATCGTCTTTTTGTTTTGAATGATTCAATATTGCACGTGTTGTTTCGTGCTAATGCAGCGATAATGTTCCATTCTGTGGTTTCATTACTTCATTGAAACTAGAACAAATTGCTAATGAGTTATGCAAATGACATTCAATATGAGTCACCTTGACATCAACAAACTGTTTGGAGCAGACACACTGATCTTATTCAGCTCGTCACCAGATCAACCCTCTCCCACTCTGAATCCAGGAAGTGACACCTTTCAGTTCAGACTGAAACCAGCTGAAAACTCAACGAAAAAGGTGAAGCACGCGACCACTGCAAAACACCGGCGGTGATGTTTGATTCTCAAGGTCGTGGAGCATTTTTTCGTCCAGTTGTGTGTGTTCAGTGACATCACAAGAAGAAGATCTGTACTAAAACGAGCAGCTGTGCAGCGTCTTGATTTAACTAATCTACATTCACCACTGGAAGTTGGTTACGGTGGCCAAAATGTGATTAACAAACTGATGAGGCGTGTGAAGTGAGGTGCAGTGATATGAGGGTTGGACGTACTGTGCATGAAGCACGTAGGATGTGCTACCTCTGTGGTTACAGCTATAAGCTGAGTTACAACCTAGCGTGCCTGCACAGTGAGTGTGTTGCACATGCATGACTATAACACACACACACACACACACTTGCACAAACAGAGCTGCACCCCACCCTGCATGTGTCATCATCGCCCACCATCCAGCTCGTGACACATGCAGGTAGAGGGGCTGATCACCAACCACAGGAACTTCCTCAACCCTGTAGCTGTTATTCTAGTTGCTATTTTCGCTGATATTTTAAGAACTTTGCTTTTTTGTGTTTCTTATTTTTGGTACAGTGGAAGAGAAACAGGCATTTAAATTATAAAGTTGGACGGGACAGGAAAACAAAAACAAGCTCGCCCTCTAGTGGTTTAAACGCAAAATGTTCTCAATTTAAAGGCAAGGAGCTTGATGAGTTCTTATTATTATAAAAGGAGCTACTTTAACCCCCCTGAAAACTGAATTAAGGAAGGCGAATCAGATTATTGTTTCCTTTCAGAGAGACTCCATAAACTTTAAAAGCCACAGAGGGACGGAACAATAACAAGCTAATTCGTTTAATGTTTATTCTTAGTCCTCTCAGTAAGCAGTTTCCTCCTGATAAGCCTCCATGTTTTTATTCAGTCCGATTATTTGTTTTAAACACACCAGGGGTGGTTGATCATAAAAAAATAAATCCGTCACAGATCAATGCCTCTTGGTGACACAGGAACCACTTGCCCCTTCCTGTCTTTGTGAGGTGTGTGGAAACTGAAGGAGGAAAAACGTAATTTATTAAGATGATAAATGTGAGCAGAAGTGTTTTGGTATTCAGAGAGTAGAGTTCAAGTCCAAAAACTGTTTGAATTCAGTTTGATTAAATGTTAAGAAAACAGAAACATTTATCAGACAAATAATCAGGTCGCTGCACATTTCATTAGAGGTACACCCAACGAACTTTGACCAGGCGGGCAGAAACGCAGATCAGCAATTTGAAGGTCGTGACACTCGACCTGGTTTTAGATGAATCTCTGCAACATACAGCTCTTATTCCCTCTGAAATACTTTAAAATGGTACCTCAGACATTTCTGCTTGTAATAAAACGAATCAAGAAGTAGTCACAAACACAAATCTGGAACAAAAAGTGAGACATTTTGGCAGCAACCATGACTTTCTAAGTTGGATCAAACGTTTGTTTTCTTTCTCTTAGTTTGACGCTTCCTCGTGTTTTTAATGTTCAACTTAAATTGTGAACTTCATCACAGCTCACATTTATAAAGAAAGGCACACAGATGAAGGCCGGGTTTACCTTCAGGGCAACCGGGCAGTTGCCTTGGGGGCTCGAGATCTGTAGAGGGCCCAGGGCAATAAGTGCATTAGCAAAATATCAGATTAGATCTGGCTCTCCTTTAGCCTCTCTGCTGGAGCCACAGCAGCTTGTCACACAGTGCCACAGAAAGCCATCATATCTGATTCTGTGGTAGCGGGGGCTACAGTGTTGTTGTGTGTATTTGGCCCTGACGTAGATCACATGATGCCGCTCCGAGGGTCTGAGGGTGAGACTTTAAAACTCGCCTCAGTGGTCTGTGGAGGAAATGAGTTTCCGATTGCGCAACTTTCTGTTGAGGTTTTTTGCACCGCCCCCACACTCCTCAGAAATCACAAACCAGCCATGTCAGAAGAGTACAAGCCAGAGAAAAGGTTCGCTTACAACGTCGATGCATGATTTCATAAGAAAGCGTTCAAAACCACGACAAGAGGAATATGAGTGAGAACAGGAAGTAGGTCTCGGGTTTTATCAGCATCATCGCATCAATCTAATATTTAACTGCTAAAAATGACAAAACGCTGCAACACTGTTGACCTTAAGGAAGTATCAGTGAGACTGGAGGAGAAATAAAAAGAGCAAAAAGACAATTTAGAACTTTAATGAAGGCATTTAATCACATTTCAGCCTTGTAGAAGTCTTCATATCTTCATATACAGATAATTGTTAATAGAATAACAGATTATCTAAGAGTGTTTTCTGTACAAAAAGCCCACAGGCCTAGATCAATATATTAAAAAGAAAAGCTCAATTGTAACACTGGTGTCCCCTTCAGCTTGATTTAGAAATACTGTACAACAACAATGGCAACAAAAGCAGCCACACGTATGGACACGCTCCAGGTTTCCACACACACACACACACATCCTTCTTTGGGCGGTTTGGGCGGCGTTGACCACCCGTAACAGAGGTTACAGGTTGACCACCCTTCCACACAGCAGCTATAAATAACAAACCTTTCATTCTTTCAGTCTGAGTCAAACAGGGCTGCTTCACAAAAAGTCAGATTTTTTTTTTACATTTACTGTAACTTGGACGTACTGTGCACCCCTGTAATCATCTGCTTTTTAAAACCACAAAAAGAGGGTTTTTAGGTGACGTAACTCTCTGCGGCGGCCGTATCGGTCGCCACAGCAACGGTCAGCTGATGTGACCTTAAAGGCCTGAGTCCTACGTCTCCTCACCTCTTCACATGGGAACACACACGACCACAACCGTCGCTGTCTCTCAAGTTTTAGTTCTAGCTAATCTGCACGCGTGACGTCAGATATGTCACTGGACCAATCAGGATTGAGCTAAATGTTCATACTAAATCTGATCTGATCAAGTCTAACTAAATTTGAGTTAGGGTTGTTGTTTTTTTTTTAAACTATTACATCTATGACTTTATTTAAATTTCAACTATATGTGTTAATGTCATATAAAAAGGTTTATTTCCTAAAATGCTACCCGGCACAGTCAGAAACCTTCAAACTAAAAAAAAAAATGACCCACGATAGATAAATCAGCCTACATTAAATATAATTTAGACCTTGCCTTGAACACACACACACACACACACTCACACACACTCAGTGCAGGAAAGTCACTTAACCAGTATTTTCTTTATTCACATGGCGGCCATTTCTTCACAAATATCCTAATTTTCCAATTGGTCAGTCTGACCTATAGAGCAGCTTTACACGATTTGAAGCTCAAAAAACTCCTCTCCAGTGCTGGGAGAAGTGAGCTTATGTAAGAGGATTGAAGGCGTCTCGTATAGTTCTTAAACTAGCGCCCTCTGCAGACGCATCCAGGGATTACACCAACATCTGTTTACCTCACGATCTCAGCTTGAGGCCAGTGAGGGAAAGAACACAAAAAAGGCCGCCATGTGAATATGGTAAATAATAACATATTCATAGATATCAATAATAAAAGAAAACTAATGTGCAGAATTAAAGATTCTAGCTGTAGTTCTGTTCACTCAGTGTTAAATGACAGGAGGAGTCTGTGTATGTACACGCAGTGCCGTCACAGTTCTTGGAAGCAGAACCCGGCCGTGTCGGCTCGGCTCTGTGAAAGCTCTGTTAGCTTCCGCTGCACGCTGAGCTGGACGGCACGGTGCTGAGCAGCGAGGTCAGGCTCCGAGCGCGGCTGGTCCTTTCATCAAAGCAGAAGGGACGCCGGACTCCAAATCAGTCTGCACAGCAAAGAAAGAGAGATAAAAGTGTTTCTGGTCAGGTCTGCCAAAGAAAACGTCCACTTTTTCCCACATTTTGCAAGAAACAAATCCGTCTTCAGCGGCCCGCATGTCCTGTCAGGCTGGGACACACTTTTCCTGACGTGGTAACGTTTCCTTAATGGATTCATTATTTAACAATTGAAGGTAAAGAGCAACACTCAAATTATGTTAACTCCCTGTAGAACACATTGTGTCAGCAGGAACGGCGATGAATGAGTATTTCCACAGCAAATGTCAAAGCGTCAGAGGCAGGGGTCGTATTTTACATGTTATAAATCCCCCAAAAGAATACAAAAACACCCAGAGTAGGTCCCTAAAAACACACTCTCTAACCCCCAAAGACCTCGACCACAAAATAGTAAAACATTTCAGGAATTCCACAGTCATAATAAAGTGTCTGCCACACCTCAGTGTACATGTGGCAGCAATGTGAGCGATTCAGAGACTCACTAAACGGTACAGTGTTCAAGCTGAACGCACAAACACAACGTCGCTCAGATTAGCCAATTAGAGGAGGTGTAACGAGTTAACTCAACACTGCAAAGACCAAAAATACGTTTCTAATGAATAATAATGGCTCTTGATGAGAGTCATTTTAAGGTTCAGTAATTTGACTGTATGTAAGAAGTGGATCAGTTGTGTTAAAAGCTGAGCATGTGAGACGTTCAAATAGTTGCAATGTTTAAAAATGTTTGAGTTGGACGTTTTCTCCAAGAACAACAAAGTGAAGTGTGTCTCTAACCAACGTCTTGCTTTCTGTCTAGCAGCAGGTGTCACTTTCCTCATATCATCTGCAGGGTTTAGTTCTCTTTAAAGATATCATCGATGTCTTCTAATCTCAAAGGAATAATCAGGGTGACTCCCTCATGATTCAAGTCCAGAACGTGTTGGCGTGCCAGACCGGATGTGGTCCTTCCCCTGCACTTCCTGTGAAGCTTCAGATACAAAAACGTGCCACTAGAAACTTTTACTTTCAAGGCCCTTGTGAGTTGTTAATTCCCCGTCTTGTAGCTGAGCCACCACCAAACCCCTATAAATCTGTACATCGCCAGCAGGCCACACCAAGAAATCAAGGAAACGAGGACCCAAATAGACCAGCGGCGTTTTACTGGAAGAACCTCGGTCCAACTTCCCAGCCGTGATTGATTGAAGCTGAATTACACCCACTGATTCAGAAAAGAGCCACAAAAAGGCTTTGTGGTCTGCTCGCGGTTCAACTCAAGCCGCAGACATCACAACCTTTTCGGGCCATTCACAGCGGCTTCTGTGGAGCAGAGCACGCCTTTAAAGAACGTCTCAGTTTTGGTTTGACCGCATTTGTCTTGGTTTTAAAATGTTCAGCTGGAAGTCTTTGGTTTGGGACATCACTTCCTGCTGCGAGCACACAAATCAATCTGCCAGATTTAGAACAGCAATTTTCTACTCTTCTCGACAGTTTGAAGTGGGCGGGGCTTAAGCAGACTAAGATGATAGTGCTTACCTTCATGCACAACAACAGAATTAGCATTATTGTCACAGATTTCTTCCTGCTGCTGGTTGTGACAGAGCTTGAATCAGATGTGACAAACGCTCCCATTAAGGACTTGAGACACTCTGCATCACAGCTGCTTCTTCCCTTGGACAGCAATCTGAATCACATCACAGTAAAAGCCTATGTCCCTGCCAAATCTCAGGCCATGCAGCGACTGGAATCTACAGTATGTGTGTGTCTGTACAGTAGCGTCTAAGAGTGGGGGGGGGGTTGTTGTTATAAACTGAGCCGAGTTTCAACTTCAGCCTTTTGTCCTTCTTGTCACTGCTCGCTCCTCCTCCAGGCCCCCCTCGTTATGTCTGCCACCAGCCGAGGGATTAAACACAGAAAAGAGGAGGTCTTTTCTTCTGCCTGCTACCTCAAGACAATCAGCACAACCACTTGTTATTCAGCTCAGGATTCCAGAAGTTGGAAAACCAGGGAAGACTCGCCAGCAATGTGGAAAGTGTGGAGCAAACAGGAGCTTTTGTTGCTGTCGAAAATCTATTTTTGCTGCGACCCAGCTGCCATCTATTCCAAGATGTCCCACGCCGAGCTCTGGCCACAGATACTTGAGCAAGATGCAACACAACACTATCAATCACACACGATTGCAGTTTTTTAAGCGAGTCTAGGCTTTCCGTCGCCTGTGCGATGCTTTAGGGACGTTAGATCAACACAAAGACTCTTAAATCATGTTAGTTTTTGGAACTTGAAATGATAAGGGGACAAAGACTGAAAGATTTAGTCGATGTGTCAGTGTTTCCCCATCCTCCAGACATGAGGAAATGGGGCGTGTCCTGCCTCTGCTTTCTTATCGAGTAGAAAAATAAAGACGAGGTGGAAAAAGGAAACTTCTGATTCAGGTCTGTGGGAGGGAGCGTTTCCCCTCACGCCAGGTCAAAAATGATTCATGATTTAGTTGATAAATAAAAATTGCTAAAACGATAAGGATCCACTTTGGTTGATTAGTATGCAGTTCATTAGGTTTGTAAGTGTTTTACACTGCTGAGCTCTTTTGGCAACATGCAGTAGGGGATGCAGAAAAAAAAATCATCTCATGTTTGAAGACAATACTGCAGAGAGATTTTAAATGTTCATGTATCTCCCTCTTTCCCACTTTCTCTGCCCAACACAAGTCTGGTTCTGCTCAGGGTTTCTGCCTGTCCCTTCTCACTATTTCCAAATGTTGCCAAAGTTCTGGACTCACTGAGTAACGCTGAGCTCCCAGAATCTGCACACTTTTTGAAGTGTTCCCAGGCTCTATTGTTGGGAAAATATGTATTATATTCATTGGGATTCCTCCTCCTGATTTTGGTCAGTCAAATTGTACGTTGCCAAATCCAAAAGGAGTCCTGGGACCGCCGTGACCCTGAGACATCAGCTCCCACGTTTGTTTTTCCTTCCTCCAAGACTTTTGTTTGGCCAGCAGCAGCGCCGACGTCAGCCAAGGCTTCTGTCATCGCTGCGATGACTTTGGTTTTCTTCCCGCCTCTCCTTGTTGGCAAGGAAATTTACGATAAAGAGGAAATGGGCAGCGGTTCACATGTCACATTGCGCTAGCAACGCACCGTTTCCGTGACACCTGCGAGGATTTTGGGGAACGTGTTAACAGGGAGTCAAGGGAGTGTCGATGACACATGATTGGGCATCCTCTCCGACACCTCTGTGTGGAAAGTAGCTGTGAGGCTTGAGAGCTGACCTTTAGAGCGCTTTCAGGGAAATCGGTGAGGCGCTCCTTGGTTTGATGACGCTCTGTTTTTCACTGTCACTTTACCAGCATGCATTCCTTCTTCCACATTCAGAGTTACTTCAACTGGATGGATCTCTGTTTTTGGTCTCCACCCACCAACAGGTATAAACCTCACCACATTTTTAGTTGCTAAAAGCTAAAAAATGTTTGATAGAAGTAGCTGAATTTGTGTTTTTAAGGTAGCATACTGATTTTTTTTTATTCACTCAATGCAGTGGTGGATGAGTGGTTGGCCTGAAAACCAAAACAACCAGCTGAAAGGCGCTAAAACGCTCCGTAAAGTTAAGGGAGAATGGCAGAGTTGGGATACATTTCTCTGCAGGTTTGGTAACTTTAAACAACATCTGTCACATTCAACCAGTCACATTAGTTTCTTTCTGCCTTACAGCAGCTTTAAATAAATAATTAAAAAGCGAATTCATAACCGTCTTTCCTCAAGTGCTCTGAGATCGTCACTGCTCATGTGTGAACAATTCAGAACGATCGTGTCGGTGACAAGTCCACTCACTTGGCAGGAGCAAGATCCTGAAGTAAAGAGTGAAAGTTTAGCCTGTTCATAAAGCTACGCAGTCGTTCTTCAGAGCAGCTCAGAAAAACCTCAAGACTTCTTTTTTTTAACTCTGAATCCGTTTGTGTCGACATTACTGCACAAACTTCTTCCTTTTCACATTCCTGCTGCATGTTTTCCTGAGCTTCCGCAGGACTCAAGAGGGGCAAACGGAAATCCACACTCAAGCAATCACACAACAGAACTACTCACTCGTATTTTTGATGACTGCTCTAATTCGCTTTTCCAACCCTGCAATTCCTTTGAAAACCCACAAGAGCAAAAGCATGACCTTCAGCTGCTGCACACACTGTTATTTCACCTGTTTAAGGGTGGATTTAATTAGATGACACCTCAACGAGCGTGGACAAAAACAGCTATTACATTCTGCAAAGTCACTAAATCTGAGTTAAAGAGTGTATTTGGGGCTTCTGTGGGATGTGGGGCTGCAGAGTTTGGACTCACCGTCAGTGCAGATGAAGCACTTGCAGAGACACACACACAGACAGAGGAGGAGGATGGCCGCGACACCGCACACCGAGAGGAGGATGACCATAGCTGAACCCACTGCAGAAGAAAAAAAAAACACACAGACATTTACTCCTACAGCACTTTATATGCTGTCAAATTACTACCTGTCACATACGTCTAACATCTGGAGAACGCACTTGAGGTGCAGTGGGAATAGAATAAAGACTGTTTTAAGCCTTCTCATATGCGGTGACATTTCAGGATTCAGGACCCCTTCAGAGTAGCCGTAGTTACCCCAGACTAAAATAGCAGAAGATGCTCACATGTGGGAAACAAAAGCTTTCTTTTTATAGCTCCCGAGCACCCAAAGATGAGATGTTTTTTTTAAAAACTCTTTTGGACCAGTTAGGGAAGGAAGATTCAGAGCTTGCCTGATACTTCTGTTTCTGTAACTCATAAGCTTGAGACAGCATTTCCAGTATGGCGACCACCATCAATCACAACTCTGCTTCAGAAACCAAAAGGGTGACGTCACTGAGACTACCTAAAAAAATTAATTTAAAAACAAGTTCCTCACTGTTTGTGTTCACAAAAGCTGTCAGGGGTTTCTCCAGACCCGGGTGGTGCACGATGCACTTGATGGAGTGTTCACTGAGCAGTCCTGACTGGAACAACAGCGTGCTGGTCACTATCGTCGTGCCGTCGCCCTGGTCGTAGGAAGAGGAGACGGGCGGTCCGAGGGTTTTGTTTTCCCCGCCGACGTCCCACGTGATGTCTGCTGCTGGCCGGGACTGAGCCGTGCAGTTTGCTTCAGTGAATCCCGAGGACGAGGCGACATGGCTCACCTCTGGTTTGGGTAAAACTGGAGAAAGAAAGAAAGTTGTTATTGAGAGTCTCTTGTAAAGTTTCTATTTTACTTTAAAAGGTTTGACAAGTGTTACTGGGGCGGTAACAAACTTCGTCAGCTGAAAACAAAAAAGGTGTAAAACTTTAAGATCAACTTTAAGGGAGGATCCCTACATTTCACTCTCACTAAAAAGGAGCAGCAATCTTTGTGCTGTTCTGCTTCTCTTCCTTTCCTCATTTATTGTTTGATCTTCTGGTTAATGTGTGTTTTGTATTTCATCTGAGCCTGTCGACGCCAGCAAACAGAAAGCAGAGATCTGTTCCTGTGCCTTCATAATGGAGACGGAGAGACATCGCATGTCAATCTCTGCTCAGCGCACAACAATGACACAAGTTGTCCTCCGACAGGCCGCCAGAAACACAGAAGCGAAGCGGCTTTTAGTGACTCTGCGCGTTTGTGCGTCTGAGTCTCTGCTCCCGTCAGATTGGACAAAGCGGTGCAAGGAGGCCACACACACACAAACACACACACTGAGGGCCTTGTGTCTGGGGGAAACAGTGAGCCACTCATCCCCTGGGCTTCATCCCAAATTAATCACCACTCTCCCCTCTGAGACCCCCTCCCTCTGCTCAAATTATCACTCCACACACACACACACACACACACACACACACACACACACACACACACACACACACACACACACACACACACACACACACACACACACACACACACACACACACACACACACACACACACACACACACACACACACACACACACACACACACACACACACACACACACACACACACACACACACACACACACACACACACACACACACACACACACACACACACACACACACAGTCCTGGAACGTGCACTCTTGACTTTGTGGTTAACACCTCTGCAGAGGAAAATAAAAAGCCGGGGTTAAGTGCTGTCAGGGGACATGTAGCACCGTCACCAAAGCGGGTCAGAACAGAAGTCTAATGACCAGAATAACTCTCACTTCAGGGTCGCCTGTGGTCTGTTTATACGCCACACTTCCCTTTCCTGCTATGGGATGCACACACACACACACTCTTACACATTTCCTCTCAGGCTACAATACTGTATGTCTCCAATGTTATACAGTGTGAAAGCACATGGTCCCCTTGAGGTCCAGTAGAAAGAACAATTTTTAGAAATGCTTTTTTGTGCTGTAGTGGTCTGCATTCTCTATATAGATGACTATTAGAACATGAAACAACAGGTATTTAAGTTTAGATTCCACCTGTTTGGTGAACACAAGGGCTCAGAGAGCGTCCCAAATCAGGCATCTATTCATCACCCTGGCAGAATTTTTTTTTTTTTAAACCCAGAAATGACAAAACGGAGAGGCAGGCTTTCCAGCTTTGCTTTATCTGATCTGCTGAAAACAAAGACTGGAAATAACATCTGTGGTAAGACAAAATATCTGCTTCCAACATCATCATTCATATTTAACGGCCGGCACGACAAGGCTAAATTTAAAGTCATTGTTAATTTGATGTACTTTATTACATTTCCATTTAATTTAGTTTCATTTATGATGTCTTCTGTGGCTTTGACTTTTTAATTAAAACAGATAATTAAGCTGGAGGCGTGGCGGGTTAAACAGATAGGCAGGGTGTTTACCAGAAAGCGACGACCACAGATGCTTTGGAGCAGCGTTACTGGAGGCGTAGGAGTGTTGCTTGACCAATAAAAAGACTAAAACAACCTAATAAAAGTGTCCTTTACATCACTTCATGTGATTAAACACAAGATCCCAAATGAATCCTGAACTACTCTAACACCAAACACCTGGCTTGCTTTTGGCTGTATAATTATATCGAATTAAAAAAAAGGAAGTAAGATGGTACTGACCGTAAACTGAGAGACAGGTGGTGGCGCTCTTGGTGCCATCCGGATACGTGTGGAACTCGCAGGTGTAGCACGCCTCGTCCTCCGTCCTCACCTGCTGGACGGTCAGCTGGGTGTCGCCCAGAGTTCGGCTCAAGTCGACCCGACCCTCAAACTGCTCGGCCACGCTGTGGTGGCCGTGTCTGGCGTGGGAGGCGACGGTCGTGGTGTCGCCCTGCTCGGCCGTCTTCCTCCACAGCACCTGTTGCACCCTCTCGGGGAGGCTGTACCAGCAGGAGAGGGTGGTGGACTTCCCGCTCACAGCCGTCTTGTTGCCCTCCTGGCGCACTTTACCTGCGACAGGAAACATGAAAACACGCCGAAATCTGTGACTGTGCTGTTGGAGGAGTCGTGTTTGCTTTTGTTTGTGTGCAGGTGACATAGCAACGAGAGGAGTCTGGGAGTCATAAACAAGGTTGTGCCAATTAAAAAAAAGTACAATAGGAAGTGCTGAGGCTCGGCAGCCGGGCGGGATAACTCCCCTGCTGGTTTTGGAGCTCAGACCTTTGCCTACTTCTTCCTGTTTTAAGAGTTCTAGTGAGAAAAACAAGCTGCTCTGTGACCCTCATGAGGACGGGCTGCGCTGAGACTTTGTACTTGTGGAAAAAAGAATCTAAGAACCTGTTACCTAAGCACACACAGAGTTTGGATTAAAAAAAAAAACTAAAACTCATGCTTCATTGTGGAACTAATGTTAAAGGACTCTTTGTGATCTAAATCATGAAAACATTTGTTTGCAGAGTCTAAAACTGATTTCCACCGTAACTGTTGAATGATGCTTTGCATGTCATTTTTTTCCATGTAATTAACAGAACAACCGCCATCTGAATGAAATGTCCAAGAAAAACCTAATTACACACTAACCCGTGACGCTGACACACGTCCGCGCTTCCTGATGGCCTGAGGGGAAAACGTCAAAGACGCAGCGGTAGCAGCCCTCGTCATCAGGCCGCACCCTCTTGATGGTGATGTAGGAGGCGTCTTTGTTCGAGGTGGTGAGCTGCACGTTTGGGTCCTGATGGCTGATCCGTAGCGGCGTGCTTTGCTCGTAAGCCAGTAGGACCTTGTCCTGCTTGTTGAGCCAGCGGACCTGATGGACGGTGTCTCTGGACGTCGTTGTGATGTTACAGGTGAGCAGGAGGGGACGGCCGACCTCTGCTTTTAGATTGGCAGGAGCTGTGACTTTACCTGAGTGAAAAAAACAAACAAAGATATTCGATTTCTTATCCCTATATGTGATATTACAGGGGCTGAAACTGAGAAACACACTTCAGTGGTAGCATCACTTTCTGAAACAGTAATAGAAATAGTAGTGACATCATTTTCCCTGGATACAGATATCAAACACCGGTCAGCTCTTTTATTTTAAAACCTTCTTAAATGTAAGAGTTAAAAGTGCGAAATATACTGAAAAATATCAAAAGTTAAAGTTCTCTTTCTTGCAGAAAAATAGTGCCCAGCGTTGTAGTTCTGGAGTCTGACAGCGGCCCTACATGTCAGGATGAGTGAAAGCTTTGAAACCACTCTGACATTACTTTCTTTGCTGTAGAGACAAAAAGTACGATCGTCGTTTTAGTTGAATGATATCTCGATCGAATCGAGTAGTCGATTCAACAACATACCGTGCGTCCCTCCGATGAAGAGCAGCAGACACAGGGGCAGCGCAGGTCCACACATGGCACACTCAGGCAGGCTTCAGAGTCTCACACGCTGACCCGCTATCACCTCCAGGCTGCAGCTGCAAACACAAACGCCGTCAGAGCGCTCGACCACAAACCTCCAAACAGCTTGTGACTGCAGCAGACTGGAACAAAAAGAATACACTTTAGATGAGCAGGAAAGAAGAGGCTGTGAGTGATGCAGACGCACTGAGCTGTCAGACGTCCGGTGCTGTGACTTGTCGAGCTGTTGTTGGTCAGCACTGTTGCGGCTGCATCGCGCACACACACACACACACGCTGCTGTAATGAGAGGTCAGAGGATGACATGAGCGGTGACAGCATTACAAAGATGACACTCTTTGCTCAGCAGGGGAGTAAAAAACAGAAAAAACAACTTTAAAAGAACTGATTTGAAAACATCACTTTGGGTCAGTTTTTTTTTTGCATCTCTTTACTCGCGGTTGCCACGGTGACCTAATGTGTCAGCGTCAGCAGAAGCAGTTTTTCTCGTTTAAGGAGCGTTACCTGGGGGTCCGATAGAGGTTTTAAAAGTTAACGAACAGCGTGAAAACTCCCACTCATACGGCTGCAACACAAGACGCCGCTTCAAAGTCTAGACAAAACTCTAACCCTGAGGTTTCGAAAAACAAATGATTGTAGTCGGATGATGATGAAAGAGGTGATGAGGTATTAGTCATTAAGGTGGGTTTGGAGGCAGGTAAGCAGCAGGGTGTGCGTTTGCCGAGTGAAGGCATATTTGTTGGTCGAGTGTGAACAAGATATCATGTTGGAAATCGAATATTTGTCAAATACGTGGCTTAAAAATAGGTAGAAAAAGCAGGAATCAAAGCGTTCTTTAAATGTGGATAAAGGTGACGCTCAGTGGACTCTGTGGGAGAGAGAAACCAGTCTAAACCAAATGACAGACCAGGTCCAGACCTCAGAGGTTTATGGGTGTTGTTTGCTCTTTTACAGCGCCAACTCATCTGGCTTCAAACATTCAGCCTGCTCCTGTTGGGCAGCACTTAAATCATGTTACCACTACACATGACAACAAACAAATCTCAAACTGACGACTTTAAATCTTAAACTCCTCACATAACGGCCTAGATTCTGGTGAATTTACTTTTAGAGACACGCTTAAAATCTCCAAAAAGTTCCACCAGAGAGGGATTGAAACCAGGTGAGGAACCTTCATCCAGATGTGCGTTAAAACTTTTTGCTGGTTAAGTGTTGGAAGGCAGATGTTATTTGAAATTTCTCAAACAGGATGCCGAAGGAGGAAAATGGATTAAATTAATTACCTGCCACACTTTCATGTTATTTCAAAGCAGGAGGAAAAGAAAGGCTCACATATGTAAGCCAATGTAGGAGCGTGTAAATCTTTCACATGGCAGATTTTACTCCTGGAAATCATGAAAATTGATACCATGCGATACAGATATCACAAAGTGTATGATATCCCCCAAAAAGTAATTGAAAAAAGGGAAGTTCCACAGGTTTGCCCTCTTTTGGGGGTTTGAAAACCTTTCTTTGGACATGATTACCGAATGAAATGAAAAAATACTATCAAAATAGTGCTGTAAAAGGAGGGGAAACTTGGTTTTCAACATATTTAAAGCAATTTAAGGGGTGTAAATAATTCACTTGGCAGGTTTAACACATACAAATCACAATTTTGATTAAGTACACAACACTTTAGCCTCAAATACAGGAATATTCCTCTTCAAAATATCAAGGGCAATGTCTTGGGGTGCAAAACTTTTATTTGCATGTTTCTAACGTGTAAATCATAAAATTTTATAAAGTGCTGTGAAGCGAAAACAAAGTAAAAACACATGTCAAACAAACATAAGGAGGACAATTGGCGTTAAAACATATTAAGCCAATTTGGAGGTTGTATAGCTTCTCTTTTTTTTATTTTATTTTTTTTTACAACAGAAACCATTAAAAAGTGCAATATTTTTCGACGTTTAAAACATTTTCACCACAGGTAAAGTGAAAACGTTTGTTTTTTTTTAGTTAGGAATACTGACATTGACTAAATGTTTAAACAAGTAGCAGTAAAAGACGATTTCAATGAGTTTTTGTCTTGATAATAATGAAAAATGACTAAAATATGCCTTTCTTCGACTCAAACGTCGATATCCTCAAAATAAAAGGTCCTTCAATGTTTCACAAAATGCGAATTGAAGTTTGTTGACTTACCTTCACTCATTCAGAAGACATTTTAAAATCGTCGTGTTACTCTGTAAAACTCAACGACGCCACACTTACCACCTGACAGAAAACGGTCCTCTACTTAAAAGTCAGCTCCCAGTGTTTTTTTTTTAAATCTTCCAGAGCTACAGGTGAAGCAACACTGGTGCACAGCTCGCCATAGTTCATGCATTTAACCTTAAGTGAGTTCTGCTGTTTCACGCCCACCACATCCTCCAAGCAGCCTCAACTCGTCTCCCATTGTGAGGACACAGTGACCACTAGTGGCCATGTGGTGAAACTGCAGCGACAAAACCTGCAAGATTAAAGTGAAAGAAAAGGTTTGACAGGTAGATTAAAAACATTTTTATTCTTTAAAACAGTTCATTACAAAAAAGCAACATTTACATTTTGCATCCTGCATAACTGCAACCATCACACTTGTTTTACAGCCATTCACAAACTGAAGACTTCTGCAGCACACCTAAAAGGGTCTTTTCAAACCTCTGATCAACACTTGAGACTTCAATTAAGAATATTTCACAAAAATGTGACCTGTAAAATTCAAAGACACTTTAAAAAAGTACACCTACAAAAATGCAAAACTACATGTGAAGTTTAATATGTACAGTCTAGAAAACAAATATTGTAAAAGACATGCCTGATCTATGATTTTGAATTATTATGAATTCTGCTGGCATTAAAGCTCACAAACATGTATGATTCATTATTAGTGTATACTTTGTTTCGTTTAAAGAGTAAGCAAAGAAAAATACAGTAGTGGTTATTATATACGGGCAGTATTCAAAAACAAAAAGTATAACAAAGACCCCATCTAGTGGACATGTTGTGCAACTGCAGCTGAACTCACAGCACTGCAGTTAATACATCCTGTGGTTAGAAAAGGAGGAAAATGTGGACACTTTGTCACTTTATCTGACAAAATAAGTATTATGGTCATACATGGGGTCACTGGTTTGGAAATGCTGAACAAAAACATTTTATTGTAAATGATCTCTTGTGGACCTATCACACACAACCATGACACATACATGAATTCTGGTTTGTTATTTCTGGTAAAACCGAAAGGTAACCAACATTCATTATGTATTATCAGAGTATACTATTGGTCCACGGTAAGTTCATTGTTGGGTTTGTTTTAAATGAAGACTTAGAATGAAATGAGGAAAATTGAAGCTGCATAATTCAAATGTATTTAAAAATATATCAAAATGTATGAACAAGAGATGCATAAAAAAGGCAGCAAATGCATCATATGGATTCAAAAGAGAATCTGCTGGACTTAACACTCATCAGCAGACACAGATGTGTGTCCTCTAACATGCTGCAACATCTGGACTGATATGTTGAAGTCACTCTTGTTCACTTTGTCACCTTGTGTGTTTCTGCATCACTAAAGAGTTAGCTTTTTTTTACACTGTGGTGTCCGAGATGAAGCTTGTTTTATGAAGTTGATCATCTTTTTAACAGAAGACCGCTGCCTTAGGCCCTCCTGCTCGTTCTGTTGATGCATGAAAGGCGTTCTGTTCCTTTAAGGGGGAAAAAAAACATTCTGGTGAATTTCTTCATCAACGTTGAAGATGTTAAGATAGGAAGGTGGTCATTATCTTACATGAGAGGTTTCTCAGTAGGTAGCGGTGTTTTGATCACCTCAGGATCCTCCTTGTTCTTACACCAAGACTTTGGGCTGGATTTGTAAAAATATTGTTTAAAGAAAAGATCATTAAAATCAGCACAAACACACAAAGAAGAACTGATTTGGGGTGATTTCAGTGTAATGTAATAATTAACAACAACAACAGAGCAGTGCTAGAGGAGAAGGTTACTTAAGTCAAAGCTAAAACGTTTTCTACAATCATTGGATTAGTTCTTTTTTGGTCATTTACATTGCAGCCTCTATATAAAAAATCTGTACCTGTTCAGTAGTTTTCGTCTCAGAAAGCACAGAAGACAGAACAGAAGAACCACTAAAGAGACTGTCACAACTGCTGCGATGACCAGAGTAATACCAGCGTCATTAGATCCAGTGTCGACCTTTGAACCTGATAAAAAAAAAACTTCATAAATACAACGTTGACCATGTGTAGAAATAATAATCTATAATAATGATTCTCACCATCTTCAGACGACAGCTGGACTGCAGGAATCATCACAGAGTCCTTCTTCAGAGGAACGGAGGGCACTTGAACTTCACATTCAACCTGTGTGCTGTTGTCATAGCTACGCCTCAGCAAACATGTGGTGTTAACAGTGACCGTACCGTTTGTGTTTTTGAAACTGTCTATAGAAACGTTGAGTTTTTGATGCAGGGCGTTTAATGTGACAGTGGGAGCAGGTCGACCCGTAGCTGAGCAGAAAACAACGGCCTCTTCAGAAAAGTTTGATTCTCTGACGTGAAGAACGGGTCCATGCAGCTCTGAAAATACAAGATGAAAGTTAAAGAAGAAACTCGAGGGATGACATGAATGTGTTGTATTACTAAAGCAGGTACTGACCGTAGAGTTTGAGGCAGGTTGTAGCAATGAGAGCTCCATCAGGGTAGGTGTTAAACATGCAGCGATAGCAGCCTTCATCCTCCTCCGTCACGTTCCTGATCAGGATGGAGCTGTTCTGCAGTCCAGCATTAATTAACTCCACTTTACCTTGAAAACCAAGGTTCACCAGTTTCTTGGAATATTTGTTGTAGGTGGCCACATTACTCTCTCCATCAGGTAGAATCTTCTGCCAGGTGACTTGATGAACGTCCTTAGATTTCATGAGCTGACAGTTTAAGCAGGCCTGTTCTCCCACTGCTGCCATCACAGTGTGCTGAGTTTGTATCAGAGCTGCTGGAGCTGCAGAGACACAGAAACATTGTTTGACTCAAAACTTGATTCCTTTAATCAATAATTTTCACAATAAAGAGGCACAGACACATGGATTTTTAACAAAGTTTTTACCTCTATAACTCAAAATCATTCAAAAAGTGATCTCAAAGCAATAAAAGTTAATCTAGTGTGAGTGAGGCTGCATGTTTCAGTATTTTCAGACACAACAGAAACTCTGGTTGCTATGTTACAGACTACAATATGAGGTAGTCTACAAACACACTGATGAAGCCGGGTTCATTAGGGTTTGTTTTTCTCTGCAAAATATCAAACAGAATATGAGTTAAACCAGGAACTATGCAAAAGTGTTTCAAATAAACCGCCAGAAATGTGGCGCCAAAATACCTAACTAAAATTAATTTAGAAAACAGAAACAGCTGCGTTCAGATTAACAAAAAATACATAAAGACTAAAAGTTATAGCCTGAGCATTAAACATTTCTTACCTTTCTGAGAGACTGTCAGCACAAATAAAGAGAGAATAAGTGCACGCTGCGCCATATCTTTCCTGCAACCGCCACTAAACTAAAGTGAAAGTAATGAAAGTACCGAGCTCTGATATGAAGCCGCTTTGTGTTGGTTAAAATCTGGATCAACAGAGACCTCTAGTGGCCACAAGGTGCAACTGCTGTTGATATAAAAAAGAGAGGACAATGTGGTCACTTCTTTTTTTTCCTTTTTTTTTTTTAAACAAAATAAGTATTATGGTCATACATGGAGCTACTGGTTTGGAAATGCTGGACAAATACATTTAGGTTGTAAATCAATCACACATAACCATGACACAGAATCAGAATCAGAAATACTTCATTAATCCCAGAGGGCGATTGAGTCGACATAATTGCACTTAAGCACAAAATAGCAGTAGAAATATAGTTATATACACTACAATAAAATATTAATGAAATAGGAATGTAATATACATGGATTCTGATTTGTTATTTCTCTTGATAGTGAAGATGACCAACATTAGAGTAAACTACTGGTCTATGGTAAGTTCATTTTTGTGTTTGAAGAATCAAAGAAATAAATAAAAATTGAAGCTGCAGAATTTAAATGCATTTCTTGAAAAATATATAAAAATGTATGAACAACCGATGCATAAAAAAGGCAGCAAATACATCATATGGATTCAAAAGAGAATCTGCTGGACTTAACACTCAGACAGACATAGATGTGTGTCCTCTAACATGCTGCAACATCTGGACTGATATGTTGAAGTCACTTGTAACACTCAGGATACAAAATTGACTTTAACTAAAATATGTATTTATAAATAATAAATTATCAAAAACACAAGATGTAACAAATTAAGGTGTACCGGGCTAATGTAGGTTAGACTCTTGGAGCTGGTGGATAATTAATTAAACACACGACACAGAATGTTGATAACCGGTTTTGTATTTCAAAATTCAATTTTTAACAAATAACAAAAAACATCAAGGAAATCCCACAATTTAAATAAAAGAAAATAGGCCTTCAATGACCAGATTCTTGAGGGCCCCTTTTACCCTCCATACAACATATGCTAAATATTCCCAATTCTATTTGTATAAATCAATGCACAGAAACACATTACACATACTGCAGTTACTTGTTATGTGTGTGCAGATGTCCAACGAATTCAAATGTTTATTTAGGTAGGGGAAATCCTACCACACCCTTTAACCAACCCTTTGAGGCCTGCCTTTTGAGGGTATCTACTTGAGTCTTTTGAAGTTGCTCCTTTAGCTCGCCATCTTCTTTGCTCCGGCAATATGGCCTGACCTGTTTAGGCAAACAGGTAACAACATCACAAGTCTGCTCAACTTGGGAGCAGCATTTTAATCAATGTTCTATTGTGGATGTCCCACCACTGTTCAGTCCTGAAACATTCTTCAGCAGCAGCAGCACAGCAGCTCCTCAAGGGCTTGAAGTCTCAGTTCAGTTAAGTCCAGCTTTGTGTCCAGGGTTGAAAGCACAGTGTTTTTCTTTCAGAAGTTCTCCTTGACTGTTTTAGGAATGACAGTGTCCTGCTGCCTTCTGACTGATTTCTTGATTGGTTTCAATCAGGTGATTAGTGCACCTGGGGAAAGGGGGTAGATGCCTGTTGGCTGCAGACTGCATCCAATTGGCTCAGGATTTGAATGACAGATGCTGTTGTCCAATGTCAGCAGTGTTACACACTCTTCTTCAATTTTGTCACCTTGTGTGTTTCTGCATTACTAGAGTAGTGTTTTTTTACACTGTGGTGTCCGAGATGAAGCTTGTTGTTTGAAGTTGATCATCTTGTCAGCAGAAGATGTCCGCTGCCTGAGGCCCTCCTGCTCGTTCTCTTGATGCATTAAAGGCGTTCTGTTCCTTTAAGGGGGAAAAAAACATTCTGCTGAATTTCTTCAACAATCATCAACACTTATTGGTTATATCAACAAACAATATTTACAACATTCTTTGTAAAAAATTAATTGTCTCACATGAGAGGTTTTTCAGTAGGTAGCGGTGTTTTGATCACCTCAGGGTCCTCCTTGTTCTTACACCAAGATGTGAGTTGAATGGAAATCTGAAAAACACAAAGAAGAACTGATTATGGGGGAATTCAGCATAAAGTGATGATAACAAACAACAGTTCAGCGCTAGCGTAGAGTAACATAAATCAAAGCACTAAAAGTAGTCTTATGTTAATAATCTATGATAATCTTCAAGAGGATCCACAGGAGGCCAAGCGGGGCCTCGAGCCATGCTACAGCTAATGTTAGCATAGCTTAATTTAAGGGAACTATTTCAGTGTGCTGAGACAGGCTAAATAACACTGACATCAATCATCACATCCACACAGGGTTAGGAGTAAAATAAACAAATAATAATAGTAAATAATAATAACAAACACTTGTATTGCAAGCTGTACCTGTTCAGTAGTTTTCGTCTCAGAAAGCACTGAGTTCTTTTTTGGTCATTTACATAGCAGCCACTACCATCAGTGTGTCGAAAGTGTAGGTGTGTAGGTGTATTTGTATTGCTTTGTTTGATCAGAACATCTCAGTGTAACAGCATAAAAGATCTGTACCTGTTCATTTGTTTTCGTCTCAGAAAGCACAGAAGACAGAACAGAAGAACCACTGAAGAGACTGTCACAACTGCTGCGATGACCAGAGTAATACCAGCGTCATCAGATCCAGTGTCGACCTTTGAACCTGATAAAAAAAAAAACTTCATAAATACGACGTTGACCATGTGTAGAAATAATAATCTATAATAATGATTCTCACCATCTTCAGACGACAGCTGGACTGCAGGAATCATCACAGAGTCCTTCTTCAGAGGAACGGAGGGCACTTGAACTTCACATTCAACCTGTGTGCTGTTGTCATAGCTACGCCTCAGCACACCTGTAGTGTTAACAGTGACCGTACCGTTTGTGTTTTTGAAACTGTGTGTAGAAAAGTTGAGTTTGTGATGCAGGACACTTAATGTGACAGTGGGAGCAGGTCGACCCGTAGCTGAGCAGAAAACAACGGCCTCTTCAGAAAAGTTTGATTCTCTGACGTGAAGAACGGGTCCATGCAGCTCTGAAAATACAAGATGAAAGTTATAGAAGAAACTCGAGGGATGACATGAATGTGTTGTATTACTAAAGCAGGTACTGACCGTAGAGTTTGAGGCAGGTTGTAGCAATGAGAGCTCCATCAGGGTAGGTGTTAAACATGCAGCGATAGCAGCCTTCATCCTCCTCCGTCACGTTCCTGATCAGGATGGAGCTGTTCTGCAGTCCAGCATTAATTAACTCCACTTTACCTTGAAAACCAAGGTTCACCAGTTTCTTGAAATATTTGTTGTAGGTGGCCACATTACTCTCTCCGTCAGGTAGAATCTTCTGCCAGGTGACTTGATGAACGTCCTTAGATTTCATGAGCTGACAGTTTAAACAGGCCTGTTCTCCCACTGCTGCCATCACAGTGTGCTCAGTTTGTATCAGAGCTGCAGAGACACAGAAACATTGTTTGACTCAAAACTTGATTCCTTTAATCAATAATTTTCACAATAAAGAGGCACAGACACATGGATTTTTAACAAAGTTTTTACATCTATAACTCAAAATCATTCAAAAAGTGATCTCAAAGCAATAAAAGTTAATCTAGTGTGAGTGAGGCTGCATGTTTCAGTATTTTCAGACACAACAGAAACTCTGTCACTTTGGTTGCTATGTTACAGACTACAATATGAGGTAGTCTACAAACACACTGATGAAGCCGGGTTCATTAGGGTTTGTTTTTCTCTGCAAAATATCAAACAAAAATATGAGTTAAACCAGGAACTATGCAAAAGTATTTCAAATAAACTGCCAGACATGTGGCGGGAAAATACCTAACTAAAATTAATTTAGAAAACAGGAACAGCTGCGTTCAGATTAACAAAAAATACATAAAGACTAAAAGTTATAGCCTGAGCATTAAACATTTCTTACCTTTCTGAGAGACTGTCAGCACAAATAAAGAGAGAATAAGTGCACGCTGCGCCATATCTTTCATTCACCCACCACCAAACTAAAGTGAAAGTACAGAAAGCCGCACGTGGTGGTTAAAATCTGGATCAACAGAGACCTCTAGTGGCCATGAGGTGCAACTGCTGTTGATAATATCCAGTAGCTGACACTAAGTTATTTACACGTTATCGATGCACATTCCTGCACAACTGTTCAGCTCTTCCATTGCACCTTTTTCTACATTATTATATTAAATTATTAGACAAACAGATGATTCTGGACTGAGTCATTAAAACTCATATCTATAAACTGACTGATATTGTTAGATGACAGTCAGCAGGTGAAATGAGGTTAAGAGAAAGTAATCGCTACACTTAACTAACTTAATTAAATCTGAACCAAAAGCGACCTCTAGTGGACAGAATGTGTAATTGCTGCTGATCATTTGCAGCTGACATTGAGTTAGAACATTTTAACACGAAACAAATAACAGGATCATAACTTGAATTGATGGATATACATGAAAAATTATATTTTCTTCTTGTACTTTCATCATGTTGAGTTGATTAAACTCATTCAGGGGAAATATGACACTATTGATCAGGTGAATTAAACACAGCAGCTTCTGGTGTGCAGTCTGTGCTGTTTTTTTAAAATAACAATTTTTTATTTATGACTAAAGAAATAATACTTCACAATGTTTTCAGTCACATCATTATTCCCCTTGTCATAATTTAACAAAAAAAGTCAAAATTTCATTCAAAGAGATGCAAAAATCTCTCACAAAGACATTATGTACATTATTAGTCATACAAAGGCAAACATTCAGATTTAAAAATGACATTTTAAAAAATAAAACAGATTTAAAATTCATGTAAACAGAGAAGGGTATCAAAATGTTTTTTAAAAGACTTTTCTTATCAAAGCTTAAAAAATCAGAATTAAATAAAACACGGCTCTTCCATCAATTTGTGAATCACAGCTTTTCACAGTTACTCAAAAAACTGAGTTCATCTGATCAATCACTCAAACAGTCTCCTGGATGAAACTGGTGTTGGATTTGTTTGTTCTCTCTTCACTCTTCACAGGAGTTGATCGAAGTCGGACCTGTACGTTCTCCTGTGGAGACTCTTGGGTCCTTGAGAAAGAAAACAAAACATATAAACTAATCTCTCAATAGAAGTCATACTTTAGGATTTGTTTTTTTTGTGAGTAGGAAGATATGGAGGAAGGCAGGACGTACAAAATGTAACAGATTTAAGAGAACTAATGATTTCTTACTTCTGAGGGTGTTCATCTGTAGTTCCTGGTATCTCATTCATATGGACCTCGTGTGACAGACTGAAGGATTTCAGAACAGTTAGAGGAGGACAAACATTTATAGACTTTAAAACTTACACATAAGTATTGATTAGAAGAAGTACCTGTTCTGAGGTTTGTGTCTACGCCAGAGGAAGACGACTGCAGTGATGATAACACAGGTTGTTAAAGCTGATAATATAATGATTGAAGTTCTACCTTTGAGGGGAAAAAGAGGAGAAAATGTTTAAAATGATGCAGACAAACTTTAAAGAATCTACATCTGATCATTTACTTACTGCGACTGCTGCTATTAGCTCCTGACTTTTCATCAGGGAGCGACTTTTTGACCTCAGGGATCATCTTAAACACCTCTTTGTGAACGCCATAGGCGCCCCCCACTGTGCACATGACCTGTGTGCTGTTGTCATGACGACGAGAGAGCACAGCTGTCTCAGTGACGGTGACTGTATTGTTGTTGTTCCTGACTGAGACAGGAGTGTTGTGGAAGAAGTTCAAGTCTTGGTGAGGGAGCGTTATTGTCACAGTGGGGGCGGGTCGACCCGTAGCCGAGCAGGAAACAACGACCTCTTCAGAAGAGTTTGATTCTCTCACATGTAGGACGGGTTCGTGCAGCTCTGTGAAGAAAATGAAACACTATCAAAGTGCCTCTCGTCCAATCAGATTACAGCGTTTGAACTAACTGTCCTACAATTTGAAGAGTCGCATGAATGAAGTTACAGGAGATACTTTAAGTGTTTCAAACTTTATTATTTATCAAAATAGAGAACAATGCTAAAGCTTGCAGTTGGGTTGCATTGCAATGCATCCTGGGACATGTAGGCACCTTTGGCAGAACAACAGGATATATCAGTTTTGATATCCACATACAACCTGGCAACATTTCAACTACAATAATTATGGACAAAGTTGCATATTTTACCATGGACGTTCAGGCAGATTGTAGCAGTGAGAGCTCCATCAGGGTAGGTGTTAAACATGCAGCGATAGTAGCCTTCATCCTGCTCCGTCACCTCCCTGATCAGGATGGAGGTGTTCTGCAGTCCAGCATCTCGAAACTCCACCTTACCACTAAAGTAAGGGTCCACTCTTTGACCGAAGTGCAGGTTGTCAGTGGCGACGGTCCTCTCTCCATCAGGTAGAATCTTCTGCCAGGTGACTTGAAGAACTTCTTTGGTTTGAATCAGCAGACAGTTTAAGCAGGCCTGCTCTCCCACAGCTGCAGCCACATTCCTCTGTGCTTGTATCACAGAGTTTAGACCTGAAGGAGAGGACAAGTGTATGTTTCTTTATTATTGGGCTCATTGAATGTGTTGTTCCTGTTGTCCTGGGGTCAATCTGACCCCAAATAAAATCTTTTGCTGTCAAATATGTTTTTTATTCATCAAATGGTCTGAAAATAATGGGGGCTGTTCAGGCCTCTGCAGCAGCTCCCCAACACCCAGCAGCCCCTCCTGGCCCATCACCCAAAAAACAGGAGCAAACTCTGCCCTCGCCAGAGTGATCTCAAAACATTGGAAATGTGCCAAAAGTGCAGTGCATATACAGATCATGACATTACTACCTGCCTCACATGCAGGCATGTAAATGAGGTCTTATCGGCCTTAAATCTCAAATGGAATAAAAAAATGGTGCTAATGTGTTTGAATGAAGTTGTTACAAAATGTGTAACACAGAATTGGGTTTAAAAAATCCACTTTATATTCTTTAAATTACAGTCAAACCAGACAGGGTCAATTTGACCCCAAAGGACAGCAGGTGTTATTATGTGCTGCCATTCAAAAAATTCAAATGATTCAAACACAGCATCTTCACTAAACTTATACTTAGACATAGACATATACCACTCTGTGATAAGTCAAAGACTCAAAATGATATAAATTCTAAATATTTTTTGTTCCACTCAAAAAGGGTATACTTTTATCTAAACAAGGTCTATTGGCCCTAAATTAAAAAGAAAAGGAAAAAAAAAAAAAAAGGGAAAATTCATGGTAATGGGTTGACCTGAAGTCAGACTAAAGGTGTAACACAGAATTGATTGAATTAATTTATGTCATATGACTTAAATTACAGTCAAACCGGGCGGGGTCATTTTGACCCCAGAGGACAGGTGGTGTATTGCAATCGGGAGGACAACACGAGGGTTAAAACAGGTTAAAATGTACTGGACTGTGTATTATTATAGGGAGGTGTTTCTATTTCTGTTGGCACACCACCCCTTCATTTATTAAACACCACCCCTTCCTATGACTTCGTTAAAGGTGCACTATGTAGTTTTGGTAGAGAAATGTACAGATTCTGTGGTATATGTTCATAACTTTATACACAAAATGTCCTCAGGGACCCATTTTTTCTTTTTAGTAAAGTTTGTGTATTCAGTTCGAAAATATAGCATAGAATTGTTTCACTTCTCCAACTTTCTAATTTCCCCCACTTATCTTTTCTTTTTCCAATGCATGATTTGATTAAAAACTTAAATTTAACTATCAACTTGTTCAACTTTTGCATTCTTCCAAAAATATTTATGCACCAAAGCCGTAAACATGAGTACACAGTAACAACTGTAACTGTTCTTTGTGAGTAAGGTGAGTCTAAATAACTTGGACATGTGCAAAATGTGACACAAATATTACCGAACACGTTTTTCTTACCTTTGTGAAATACTGCAGACACGAAGAGGAAATATAAAAGCGCGCTGTTTGCCATCTTTCACCCATAACGTCTCACACATCCCGCCAAAACTACTACTTCTTCTTCTTTAGATTTTATCGGCAGCTGGCATCCAAAAAGTTGCATTACTGCCATCTGCTGGATTTAATTTTCACTCACATTCTTAAATCCTCAATAAACCCCTTCTCAAGAGATATTTAAACAAGCATCTTCGTCCTCTCCGTCTCTCCCCACACTCCAAAATACTTTTGAAATCTCTTCTTACGAGTCCCTCACTCTCCATTTCTGACATCATGTTATGTCTACATACTTTCTACATTTAATAACTACATGTTCAACTGTTTCTGCTAGATTGCATATCTCACAAAGACCGGATGAATGTTTTCCAATGATATGTAGAGTACTATTTAAATGACTGTGACTGATTCTTAACCTGGACATTACGACCTCCTCTCTTCTGTTGCTCCCTCTGTATTTTACTTTATCTATTTCCCTCTGAATTGAGTATAAATGTCTTCCCTTTGTCTGATTGTTCCGATATTGTTGCCATTCTTGTTTAATTTTACTCCATGTGACTCGTTTCCCCTCTGACTTAGATCATTTGATGTTAATATCAATCCTCTCTTTCTTTACAGCTTCCTTTGCCAACCTGTCCACCTTTTCATTTCCTGCTATACCTGAATGTGCTGGAACCCACATGAACATCACATCTGTCCCCTGTTTAACTACCTGGGAAAGTGTAAATATGATTTCACATAATAAATCTTGACGACTGTGAGATGATCCTGATTGAATACTGTATAAAGCGCTGACTGAATCACTGCATATCAGCACTTTCCTTCCTTTCATTTGCTCAACACATTCTAATGCAACTAAAATGGCGTATAACTCTACTGTGTACATGTTCAGAAAATCTGACGTTCTCTTCACTACTTCAACATTGAATTTTGGGATAAACGCAGCTGATCCTGTTGAATTTGTCACAGGGTCTTTAGATCCATCTGTGAATACTTGTACATGATCTCCATATCTCTGTTCTATGTGTTCATAGAATTCACTCATCAACATTTCTTTTTCTTTCCTTTATCTTCAGTAACTCCAAGTCTACTTGAGCTGTCTCAAGCATCCACATTGGAACTGGTGGCCATAAAACAGTTGGACTGATATCCTTGTCATACACTCCCATATCTCTCGCCACTCTATCCCCTATCCATCCAAAACTGGACTTAATTGTTCTCTCTTTCTCCCAGCAATCCTTTAACACTGATTTCCGCCAAAATTTAGACAAGAACAATTGGTAAAAGTTGCTGTACCTGGGTGACGTCATCGTCCAGGCCGTGAGTGGCACACAGACCGGGGGTGGCATATGTACAGATTATCATCAAACATGAAGCAACAAATGCGTACAGTAGCCTAATGTAATTAAAACAGATTTATAACTAAATACCTTTATTTTGTTAAATTATGACCAGCTAGCAGTTTAAAATGAATCTTATACAACATGTGTTGCTGAACTATAAATAACATGAGAACACACACTGAACAAAGAAGTGCTGTAGTGCTAGAAAAGTGCTAAACTGTTGATCATAAACAAGTCATACATTTAAACATTAATATACAATCTAATGAATTAAATTATAATGTAAATCACATTACACACTTATAAATCAATAAATGGATTCAAAAGTGCCTATTTCCAGTGCAGAAACACAAAAAGAGACTGAAATGTTTATGGTTGAGGAGCAGTATTCGGCTCATTTTCCTCATTTCTTGGTCGCTGTTGTTCCCCATAAAGCACACTAGATGGCAGTAAAGCCTCACTGTGTGACATTGACAGGATGTTTCTTGTTTTAGATCCACAACACATCTTTTTAACTGTCCGCATAAGCAGCTTGAAGCCAAGTTTAACTATTGCACACTGCTGCAGTCACTTGAACCCTGGACAAGGCTAAAGTCAACTGCTCAAAACTCAGACTTAAAGTGGATAGAGTCAGAAATCAGGGAGAAAGAGAGACAGAGAGAGAGAGAGAGAGAGAGAGAGAGAGAGTCAAGTGCTACAGAGTATTGCAGCACTCCATTGGAAAATAAATATCATATAGAAGTCTAGTAGCTTAGTTATCTGCTAACAGGTTACATGTAATAAATACATACTTTGAAGGTGCTTTCAAGGCCCCAGTGACAGGACAGGAATATGACATGTTACTGAAAGAACATTTCCATTCCTTTTGTTTCTCTTTAACCTGCGCAAGAAAGAAAGTTCATGTTTATTATACAGCGGGCAGAACATTGCACACACGGCAGATACGACTTCCTACATAACGTTTAATATCTCACCTCTGTCTTTTCATTCATTACACTCATTCAAGAAACAGAGTGAATGAGTGCAGGTTCAGAGTAACACAGGTGTTTTTAATTACCCTGGCTGATTAGACCAAACAGGGTGGAGCTGTAATAATCACAGCAGAGGAGGTCATCCCTTTATTTAAATGTCCCTTACCTTCAAACAGCAACCCGGTAAGTATCAGGAGGAGCAGCATTTTGTCTCTGCAGCTGAAGAGACGACACGCTTTGCTTCTTGAAAGCCTTTAAATAACAGCTGTGTGTAAGTGGAGGAGACTGATCTAGAGAGTTTATTCTTTACTTTTTCTTTTTCATGAGGCTGACCACAGCATGAATACATGTGAGTGATTGATACGATGCATGATTAATTCAATGACAGAAATCAATAGACGGACTCCTTACATAAGGGGGCGAAGCTTAATGTTATTACATGAAATGAGCATGGACAATACCTGCCTATATGAAGTTATTATGAAACATTCATTACATAGGATTCACATCTTATTCTTATAATGGGTATGACTCTAGGACTTGATGCAATTGCTTTAAATGGAATAATCTTCAACAAAGGGCAAAAACACAAAAAGCCAGTCAGCCATTACATTTTCTAAAGCCTCATTGTCTCCCCTGTTTTTCTCTGAATGCTAATATGACTATTTCCTGCATTGCTGTAAATACATCCTGTGGTTAGAAAAGGAGGAAAATGTGGACACTTTGTCACTTTCTGACAAAATAAGTATTATGGTCATACATGGGGTCACTGGTTTGGAAATGCTGAACAAATACATTTTATTGTAAATGATCTCTTGTGGACCTATCACACACAACCATGACACATACATGAATTCTGGTTTGTTATTTCTGGTAAAACCGAAGGTAACCAACATTCATTATGTATCATCAGAGTATACTATTGGTCCACGGTAAGTTCATTGTTGGGTTTGTTTTAAATGAAGATTTAGAACGAAATGAAGAAAATTGAAGCTGAAGAATTTAAATGTATTTATTTAAAAATATATCAAAATGTATAAAAAAGAGATGCATAAAAAGGGAAGCAAATGCATCATATGGATTCAAAAGAGAATCTGCTGTGTCACTCTTGTTCACTTTGTCACCTTGTGTGTTTCTGCATCACTAAAGAGTTTGTGTTTTTTTACACTGTGGTGTCCGAGATGAAGCTTGTTTTATGAAGTTGAACATCTTTTTAACAGAAGATGTCTGCTGCCTGAGGCCCTCCTGCTCGTCCTGTTGATGCATTAAAGGCGTTCTGTTCCTTTAAGGGGGAAAAAAACATTCTGGTGAATTTCTTCAACAATCATCAACACTTATTGGTTATATCAACAAACAATATTTACAACATTCTTGTAAAAAATTAATTGTCTCACATGAGAGGTTTCTCAGTAGGTAGCGTTGTTTTGATCACCTCAGGGTCCTCCTTATTCTTACACCAAGATTTGGGGCTGGATGGAAATCAGAAAAACACAAAGAAGAACTGATTATGGGGGAATTCAGCATAAAGTGATGATAACAAACAACAGTTCAGCGCTAGCGTAGAGTAACATAAATCAAAGCACTAAAAGCAGTCTTATGTTAATAATCTATGATAATCTTCAAGAGGATCCACAGGAGGCCAAGCGGGGCCTCGAGCCATGCTACAGCTAATGTTAGCATAGCTTAATTTAAGGGAACTATTTCAGTGTGCTGAGACAGGCTAAATAACACTGACATCAATCATCACATCCACACAGGGTTAGGAGTAAAAAAATAATAATAATAATAGTAAATAATAACAAACACTTGCATTGCAAACTGTACCTGTTCAGTAGTTTTCGTCTCAGAAAGCACAGAAGAACCACTAAAGAGACTATCACAACTGCTGCGATGACCAGAGTAATACCAACAACATTAGATCCAGTGTCGACCTTTGAACCTGATGAAAAAAAAACTTCATAAATACAACGTTGACCATGTGTAGAAATAATAATCTATAATAATGATTCTCACCATCTTCAGACGACAGCTGGACTGCAGGAATCATCACAGAGTCCTTCTTCAGAGGAACGGAGGGCACTTGAACTTCACATTCAACCTGTGTGCTGTTGTCATAGCTACGCCTCAGCACACCTGTGGTGTAAACAGTGACCGTACCGTTTGTGTTTTTGAAACTGTGTGTAGAAAAGTTGAGTTTTTGATGCAGGACGTTTAATGTGACAGTGGGAGCAGGTCGACCCGTAGCTGAGCAGGTAACAATGACCTCTTCAGGAAAGTTTGATTCTCTGACGTGAAGAACGGGTCCATGCAGCTCTGAAAATACAAGATGAAAGTTATAGAAGAAACTCGAGGGATGACATGAAAGTGTTGTATTACTAAAGCAGGTACTGACCGTAGAGTTTGAGGCAGATTGTAGCAATGAGAGCTCCATCAGGGTAGGTGTTAAACATGCAGCGATAGCAGCCTTCATCCTCCTCCGTCACGTTCCTGATCAGGATGGAGCTGTTCTGCAGTCCAGCATCAATTAACTCCACTTTCCCTTGAAAATCAGCGTTCACCAGTTTCTTCAAATATTTGTCGTAGGTGATGACATTACTCTCTCTGTCAGGTAGAATCTTCTGCCAGGTGACTTGAAGAACTTCTTTGGTTTGAATCAGCAGACAGTTTAAGCAGGCCTGTTCTCCCACAGCTGCAGCCACAGTCTTCTGTGTTTGTATCACAGAGTTTAGACCTGAAGGAGAGGACAAGTGTATGTTTCTTTATTATTGGGCCCATTGAATGTGTTGCTCCTGTTGTCAATCTGACCCCAAATTCAATCTTTTGAAAAATTATGTTTTTAATCATCAAATAGTCTGAAAATAATGGGGGTTGTTCAGTACTATGCTCTTCATGATTACAGTAAATTTGAGGGAATTTGACTGAATTATGGGTTTTTTATTGAATTTACTAACGTCTGTTGTCCTCTGGGGTCAAAATGACCCCGCAGCATAAAGTGGTGCATTGGAGCAAATGATCACACCATACTGCTTTCCAAAACATCTTGGATCTTGGATGTTTGGGGTCAACAAATAGTTATGACAACAACAACAACAACAAACAAAAAAACTCAGTTTCCTGCACTAGTGAGGTCTTTGACTGCATTAGTTTACGAGTAGAGAGTTGAAAGATTTATCAGTAAACTAGTAGACAGCAAAAATTCTTCATGTTAACTCGTAAGGTGCAAAATGTCTACGAGTTAACTAGTGAGGCTCGGTATGGCCAGTCCTTTAACATTAAATGAGTCTGGCTTACAAGTGGCAATTTACATTCCAACATGTCAAAATGTCATTTTGGTCAACATATCAATTATGTAATTTCAACTAGTAAGAATTGCATTTTAGATATCTAGAATTAATTTGTGATATTTGTAATGTAAGAACAATTGTAGATATCATAAATGAACTTTGTCACTCAAATAATTGAATTTTTGATATCAAGAATGAATATTTTTAGTAAGAATTGAGTTGAAAATGACATTGTGGATATGTCGGCTTGGAATTCTAACATGTCAAAAAGCAATTATTGATATCTGCAATTTCTTAATGATTTAATGTTAAAAGGGCTTGCCATAGGCTCGGAAATGTTTACTAGTTAACTAGTAGGAGCTAAAATGTCAATTAGTCACACTAGGGAAGCAGTTTTCACCTTCCTAGTTTACTAGTAAAGCCCCGTACAGTTTACTAGTAAAGGAATAAGTGCCTCGATGTCCACTAGATAAAATAGTAGGTATCTTTTTGGCCTCTGCAGCAGCTCCCCAACACCCAGCAGCCCCTCCTGGCCCATCACCCAAAAAACAGGAGCAAATTCTGCCCTCGCCAGAGTGATCTCAAAACATTGGAAATGTGCCAAAAGTGCAGTGCATATACAGATCATGACATTACTACCTGCCTCACATGCAGGCATGTAAATGAGGTCTTATCGGCCTTAAATCTCACATGGAATAAAAAAATGGTGCTAATGTGTTTGAATGAAGTTGTTACGAAATGTGTAACACAGAATTGGGTTTAAAAATCCACTTTATATTCTTTAAATTACAGTCAAACCAGACAGGGTCATTTTGACCCCAGAGGACAGGTGGTGTATTGCAATCGGGAGGACAACACGAGGGTTAAAACAGGTTAAAATGTACTGGACTGTGTATTATTATAGGGAGGTGTTTCTATTTCTGTTGGCACACCACCCCTTCATTTATTAAACCACACCCCTTCCTATGACTTCGTTAAAAAGTGCACACATGTAGTTTTGGTCGAAATGTACAGATTCTGTGGTATATGTTCATAACTTTATACACAAAA